ATTTTACTCATAGAATTCAATAGGCACACTCCAGGCGCGGATACAAGGGGGGGGGGCCATGGGGGCCATGCCCCCCCCCCTTGGCCGATTTTTTTTTCAAAAATAAAATAAAAAGTTAAAAAGTTAAAAAGCTGAAAAGGGGGCCTCCTGAAAATAAAGTGGCCGAAATCCGATGAGTTTTTTTTTTAACCTACCCACTTAGTTATTTCTTAGAAGACTAGCTGAGAAGACTTCTTTGTTAGAAGATTGGTAAAGCTTTTCATAACTTGGAGGTCTCTTATACTCACAGAGATGACCACTTTTACAGGGCCTCCTAACCTGCACAGAGGGCCTCCAAGCCTGCACAGATGTTGAGATGTTGCCTGAACAGCTAGATAAGCTCAATAGACGCAGTTTTTTTTTGGGGGGCCAACAAGTGGGAAGATGGGGCCTCCAACAGGTGGGATTATGGGGGGGCCTCCTGGTTTCTAATGGCCCCTCCCTTGGAGATTTTCTGGATCCGCCCCTGGCACACTCAATAAGTGATATGGACCACTTCTGGATGAATTTCAGGTCAAGGTCAGGTCAAGGTCAGGTCAAGTGAGGTCAAATTTTGAAGTTAGTTGTTAAGGCCTAAAAAGGTGTCTATCTGATGCAGTTTTTCACGGCGAATCGAATGGTGCTATTTTTGTTTCCGTACGAGGTCTAGAACTTCCAAAAAAGTCATTTTTCAAAAATTTTGTGTGTCGTGACGTCATAAAATTTTGAATAACTCCCACATTTTTGAACCGATTCTTCTAAAATTTGGTATGTAGGTGCACATAGACCACTTCTCTGACATATATTCCGGTTTTTCGATAGACTCAAAATTTTGGATTTTATAATGATTTTCCTAAAAAAGTCAGTTTTTTGAAAAAAATTTAGGGCAAAATCCAAAATTTTCAAAAAACCGAGATAGCCATTTGATAGACAAAGTAAAATTACGTATAACCTATTTTGTTACGTCTTGATTCCTTTAAAAATGAAGATGTTAGCGGCGTTTGAACTTTTACCGTTTTTGAGGCGAAAATGACGAACATGACGTCACTAAAACGTCAATTTCTCAAAAATTTTCCGACGGATTTCGCTCAAATTTTCAGGGAACGTGTCAAATTGATGTAAAAAAAAGGTACTGAAAGTTTGGCGGCGCTGCGCGCCGCCGTTTTTGAGATATCGCAAAAATTCGCGAGGGGGGTAAAATTTACCCCCCCCCAGCCCCGCGCGGGTTAAGACAGCAACATGATGCAAATGAGGCAATAATTTTCTTTTCAAAATCAAATAGCGAACATAATCGATAGTAAACCATTGGTGTCAGCCGCTGGCCAAATTCTCTTGCACACCACAGCCATGCATTTATCGCCCCACTCGGGGTGAAAAAGTCTGTGGCGCGGGAACCGTTTCCTAATGTTTCCCACGGTAGCTGGGCAGACAGCGGTGCGTTTCCTAGAGCCGATGTACGCACAGGGGGTGCGTCCGGCCGGCGGGCGGGGCGGGGGGAGGGGGAGCGATATATTGGCCGCCGGCCCAGAGACCTCCTCAGTGGTCTCACAGTGGTGGTCAGACGACAGAGCGGTATCCACGACTACACGATGGCGGCGAGACGGGCTCTCCTTGTGTGCGCGCTGCTGGCGATCGTCAGCTCCAGCCTCGGTACGGAATACACAGACGGATTGTGTACGGAATACAAAGACGGATTGTGTACGGGATTCACAGACGGAGTGTGTACGGGATTCACAGACACGGACCTCGCCGGCATTGTATTGTGACGGAGATTTTACCATTTAACAGGCAGCCGTATACTGCTACATTCATTGCAGGCAGTATACGAACGACTCTAACTATAAGAGCACTGGAATCTACAGTGAGGCCATGGAAGACCAAGGGCAGCCCACAGATGCCCGGATGGGCTGCCCTTGGTTTGGCAGTGCAGGGAGTGGAATGGAGATCCAATATTCGCGATCAGTGTGGCCCATCTTGGGGAATGTCTCTCGGTTCCCTCCCTCTTTTTTAACCCGCCTGAGCCGCCAGTGTAAAAGCAAACCGCAAATCCGCCAGTTTCATTGAAGGATTTCAATGCTGGCTTCAGCTTTCCATTTCCCAATCTCTGCCCAAGACGTTAGCATTCTTTTCAAGATAGGCATCTGAAATTGATCATATTAATGGCGCGCACATGCAGCAGACAAGGTCTTGCAGTCACTTTTTCAGTAATATAATTCATTCTTTAATGTTTCGAATTGTAATAGGACTTAGGAGTGGAAAGCCTTGACATTGCAACAGCACACAACAAACCTATTTTAGTATTACCTGAAACATTCCGTGCAACAAAGCAGCCACAAATGTGCTAGTAGATGATAAATTTGTTCCAAAGGCTGGTTGTGCCTCGCACTTCATAAATTGTTTGATTATTATGATCAATGCAGGTGGCGGCAGCCTTGTCGACAATCAATTGCTTTCAGTGTTGTTTTGTCATTTGTAGACATGGTACCTATTAGTAGGTAGCGGGCAAAACAAAAAGCTAAAAGACGATAACCCGTAATAGCTTATGTATGTATATGTATGTATGTATATTATGTATGTATATATGTATATTATGTATGTATGTACATCCTGAGTTACTATCCTGAGTGATTTTGACGAAATAAGTTTTCTTGTTGACCTTGTCTCACTTTTGAGGGACAAGTGTATTTTTGTGTTGAAAATGAGATAGACGAATAAAATTGCTACTGTCTCATCCAATTACTTATAAAACTTTGGCTTATCGTTGCGTCTTATGTTCGCTGATTTGAAAGAAAGAGAGGGTTTGACCCATAAAGTTTACATTTTACAGCCGTATAAGAAAGCGTTCCGGTACTTTTGATGTCATTTTGGGCAAAATTGTAGCAGCCAATTTGGCTTCTAAGGTAGCTGGAGAGCAGAATCAAATAAATTTCGCATCCTATCGTGTATCTAATTGCCTGTACCGTGCAGTTCCCGAATCGTGAGCTCCGCAAATGTCAGCTAAGCATTTTTTATAGCTAATCGTTACGAGGCCAAAAAGTCTAAAGAAGTTTGTAGCTGATCCTTCAGGCGATGAAGCGTTTAGTCGTCATTCTATGCACTACAATAGCTCATCACATTTTCAAGCTGGTTACCATTAAAGTTACCCAGAAAATACACACACGCAGAATGAAACAATTTAGTTGACACGACTCTGCCTTGTCGCACTGGCATGGTATCTAAAAACTTGACCGCAACAAAACTAGCTTTTATGAATGTGCACTCTTGTCAGGATTACGATGCGGTGTTTCGGAGCAGACACACCTTCGTATCACCCCTCCATTGACACCAGATCTGGTCACCGCTCCTCAGGCTCTCAGTTCGGCTCTGTGGATGGGACGACCACCGAGCCTCCGTCGTTCCAATGCAACTCCGAGTACGGCCTGTTTCCCGACCCGGACAACTGCCACGCATTCTACGAGTGCAACGAGTTCATCCCGTTCCACTTTGACTGTCCGGACAACCTGGCCTGGAACGACGCCGCGCACATGTGCGACTACGACCCGTGAGTACTAACCGTGGCTACAAAGACAGCTTACAGACAGCAGATTATAATGTAAAGAGTAGGTGTGGATGTCAGTTTCGTAGTAAGTAACAAATGGATCTTACAAATGTTTCGATTGATAGCAAAGGAAATTGGCCGAGTTGATGTAGACATCTGTACCAAAATTATCCATCTACTTGTAAATAAACATATTTTCCGATCAAGAGAAAATGCATAACCTAGCTTTATAACAAGCTGGCCTTGTGGCCAAAAAAAAAGCTGGCCAATTTTATGTTCTTCTTCGGAGAGGCGCTTTAATTTAAGCGATGCTTTTGCGCCGATCCCTTATTTGCTCTGTACATTTATTTGATCCTTGTTTACTAAAATACACTGGAATTGTGGACAAATAGCCGACGATGTCATTTCTATTTAGGTCTGAACAAATTCATGTGTTCTTTCAGGACTTGCAAGTAGATGACTGAAAACGAAGAACGGAAGATCGCCTGACTTTACTGGATCATCAGCAACTTTTGTGCGAATGACACACAGCCGTCGCCTGCTTTAAACGGCTTTGGGTATAGCGGCTGACGCTGAATTGTCAGCTCGCGTATTAATAGCTCCGTGAGGCAGAACGGCTGTTTCTTAGAGTCAGACGATATTATTGTGAAAATAAGCGGTTTTTGTGCTGAAGAGCCTTTTGAAAACCCAAAGTTTCAGCGTGATAAAGGCAGGCATGTAACTACGACGACGACATAATAAACTTTTACATATATCGATACGTTTATCTAAGCACTATGATCGGTTGTGAAAGTTGACGGCTTTCCCAGTCACTTTGCGAGGCAGTTGAATCGATTGAAAGGTGACACGACATTGTGTCGATTGAAAGGACGAACGTCGCGGGCTGTGTAAAAAGCAGCGAAGCGCCCAGCCGTGGCTCGAATGCGAATGGGCTCGCCAAATGCTCGACAGTCCCCAGAGTGTTTCGTGTCAATCCGACGGAGACGCGGCAAATAAAACTGCCGAATGTGGTCTCGTAAAATAACACCTTACAGAACAGAGGATGAATAAATGTAGGGGTGGGGGATAAGTAGGACGAAGAGTAGGAGGTTAGGTGAGTGTGCGTAGACGCAAGGTGTGAAATCTGCGAGTTCAGATCTGACGCAAGCTCCATAGACACCATCCTAATTCCCAAGCACCATTGCCACGCAACCTATTCAGGTTAGTCGGCACTTGCACGATCGAAAACATACTCAGAACGGCCACTGCTACCACTTAGCGTTAAATATACATTTTCAAGAAAACGGATCAAATCATGTCACATGTTCCGTTGGCTAATATTGCGCAATTGTGTTTAGGAAATGTACGATTAACACGTTATGTAGTTAATGTACGTCAGCCAAGCTGACCACTGTTCATGCCTTTCCTTGGCTCGTTTCTTAGGAATTTAGCGAAAGGAACTTACCTAATACGAATCCGGTTGTGATGTGCCTGGTTACGAAGATGACGAGCACACATAGCAGTTTGTCCATCATTGCTGGTCTCCAGCGGTCGTCAGACACAATCCGCCTTTGGACGCCAAACAGCCCTTCGAAGACTTGAGCGACGGTCACGGCGCGGGTGGGCGCTGCAGACGCAACACCATGTGACAGCTGGCTGTCTTCAGATGCCGTCACACCTGGATAACGTCACACCGCCGGCCGACCGGCCCGGTCGAGATGGCCTGGGGGCAGCGACACGAGCCGTGCATGAATAAAGACGAGAGGCAAGAAGAACGGCGAATACTCCTATTGCAGCGTGAATGAATAATACATTATGAATTCCTTTATGAGATTAACTTGTTGTTGCACACTTTTCTCATTTCATTAGCTGTTCACATTTGTTGCACACTTTCGTGACGGATTTTTTTTTTGTCAGCAATGTTCATATCTTACTGCTGCTGAGCTGCAGAGCACCGTGCAATTCTAATTTAGCAATTAAAATAAGGATAGGGATTTTAATAATGATCTTAAGAATAAAACTCTTCATCATTTTGACAATGATTTAAAGATTCTAATAGCAATTAAATCTTCGCAATTAGGTTCAATTGCAAAGAAATTATACATACCATTATAACAACATGTAACATTATAATCGTTTTCTGTTCCACATCAACATTGAACTGTAACGCTTGCGCCATAAATGTATGAACAATTAATATAATTTCCGGTCCAAGCGCTCAATATTAAGCAGCCCTGTGGGCAAGTATGTGTGCGAAATTTCACCGTTCATTCTATCAAAATAAATGGTCTGTTCGAATGCTGCTTTCGTCGTCTGCTAAACATCACGAAGCGATAAATCATCAATCCACTCGTCAAACAGACTCCTCTGTGGATGACTTCAGTCTGCATGGACAGCGCTAATTTCATTAAATGAGCCACTCGTAACTACACCGGTGTCAACAAACCAACAGTAAATCGTGGTATAGCTCCTTAATTTCACCAGTTCTCTGTGTTCGATGCGCTGCAGTCACTATTATCGCTGTCGAGTGCCAACCTTATCACCCTGCAGCCCGGTCCCGCGACCCCGGTGTGGCTGGGACTCGACTCCGAGTCAAGCGAGACGACACAAATGATGGTAAGGTGGCTCTGAGTTCTGACCCTAGCGGCGACCATCATCCACAGCACTTACCCAGGCGGGCATCAACAGAGAGAGATAGAGAGCGAGAGAAAGAGAGAGAGAGAGAGAGAGAGAGAGAGAGAGAGAGAGAGAGAGAGAGAGAGAGAGAGAGAGAGAGAGAGAGAGAGAGAGAGAGAGAGAGAGAGAGAGAGAGAGAGAGGTGAGGTGAGGTGAGGTGAGGTGAGGTCAGGTCAGGTCAGATTCGTGCGTCCACAGCGCACCCCACATGGTCCGACATCGCAGCTGTGGCAATCGCACCCCAATGGGAAAGACACGCTAATGCAACTCGCGCAACTGGCCGTCCCATTTTTCTTTCAGCCGCGGACCGAGCCGAGCCACAACAGCGGTCTGCGGTATACGGCCACTCTGCGGTCCACCCGGCCCAGGACACACAATGCAACACTTACAGGCACCTGAAGACTGCACCACGACGAGCGCTATTGTTAGCACCAGCTGCACCACATGGTGGCGATCTGCCTGCCCGGCGGCTGGTGCCGGGACGCACTGAGTGTCTGCCGGTCACCGCCGGTCGCTAAATACTGGTGACCTCCGGCTCCCCTGGGGGCTACACCAGTCACACTGGCGACATGTCGGCGACAGTTCTGACTGGCACTGCGTCACGAGCTGTGCGGAATAACTGCCTGATCATCCAATACCAGCAACGACTTGTCCGAAAAGGTCAGTTTATGCCGAAAACAAGGTGTATATTCATATGGTTAAACACATCGATAATGTCTGGCGCCAGTGGCTGGAATGTGTACGGAGTGGGTTGTGCGCATCCGCTCGGCTGCATTCTTCGCGGGTCAGCTAGCCGGCAAGAGCGTAGCCTGCTTCGAGTCAGCGCTCAGATAAACTAGTGATGTCAATTACGGAAAATCGGAATACCGATACCAAACCAAATACCAACCAAAACCACGGGAAAATGCCAAAACCGAACCAACTTGGGAACATGAGGGAAATACCAACTTTTTACCGATTTTTTAGCCTCTTATACATTAGTGGGGGTTCATGATACCAACAAAATACCAAACACATAAGGATTGAAATACCAAATACCAAGTTGGTATCGGTTTGGTATCGGTATACCAAAAAGTCGGTATCCGATTTACATCTCTAATGCCTACCTACCTACTTTCAGCGCAATCGGCCCAGTAGTTGCCGAGATATTGCAACTATTGCAAAACTGACACCTCTTCGTTTTGCACGTGGCACGTGCATAAGGGGTCACCCACATGCATCGGGAATAGTCCAACACTTGGTAGAAGGGATGAAGCTACTCTACAAAAATTACCGCGTGTAAATCGGTCAAGTGGTTGCTGAGATATAAGCTTCGCAAAAGCGTCCGCACGGTCAGAAATTTCCGTCAATATAAGGAATGACTCCGCTCGCTTCACTCGCTCCGTAATTATGTCACTTGGTGCTTCTTTGTTTGGTGTGCTTATCCATGGGTCAGGTCAAATGAGGTCAACTGAGTTCAAATGACGTTTGTGCCAATAACTTGTCACTTAATAAAGATAGGTAGGGGAAGCCGGGGGAAGCCCGGCATAGTAAGCTCTTTTTCATTTTTATTACATACCATACGTGCTGTATAAAATGTTGATATCCTGCTAGCTAGCTAATTTCATTGGCCGTGTTTTCCCAAAAATTCAGTTTCGTGGAATAAGTATAAGGTTGAGAAAATCGAGTTTTAAAAAAGTGTTGATTTTTCTGGGGTAAGCCCGGCATAGGGGTAACGCCGGCCACCTCCCCAGCGCTTTACAACGAGTTGATGAAACCATTATGTGTTTTTTAGATATTAACGGAAAGTGAAATGTTAAGGTACTGATTAGCTCTGGACATCTTAGAGTTTATGTCACTACTGGTATTTTAGCTAGCGTCTACTACATATACAGTACAGGTCGATGAAAATCGTGATGCAAAATTGACAAAAAATGTGTATTTCAAAATTCCTTAAAATTTATTTTTCTTTTTACCGCATATTGCATATCATTCGACTCGGCTGATGAAGAAGAACACAACAATACCATTTTTGAAGCTCTAGCTTCATTGTCTGTCGCGTTATCTGCAAAAACGTAGTTTGACCCTAGTTGACCTTAAGTGACATGACTGGCTTTGTCTATGATAACATGTTTATTTTCGAAATTCATCTTTGATCTAGGTGTAAACCAAACCTGCTCAGTACCTATTAGCTCATGGAAAACAGTGGTTTAGTGGCATTGCTCTCGGGTGGGGGTAAGCATGGCCACTCGCCCGGGGTTACCCCAATGTGCTAATTTTTATTTTAGAACAGCGATATTCGAAAAAAATGTCATACTTTAGCCAGCCTGCCTCGTCACCCCTCACTACAAACACTTAAACGGTCCTTACATAGCATTCGTATAAGTATTAGTACTGTATGGTATAACATTAACAGTGCAAGATATCTCACTTTTTAGCTAAAAACCCTTAAAATATCATTTTTGCGCTATAACTTTAACAATATGCAATTTTTGTCAGCCTTAACATTTTGCTGGCGTTACCTTAGCTGCCACGCTGAAAGGACAAACAGTTGAGCATTTTATTGTGAATAATTTAGCCGGAAACGGGGTGGCCGGGCTTCCCCCGCGCCCGGGCTTCCCCCGGCTTCCCCTACACTTTTCAAAATGGTATCATTCTGTTCCTCTTCAAAAGCCGAGTCGAATGATATGCAACATTGAGCATTTCGGCCATTCGTAAGACTTAAGTTGTACTTAAGATGTGCTTAACTTTTTAAGTACACTTAAGCAAGCAAAAAAGTATATCATTCGACGCGCCTTGACGTGCTGAGTTCACTGGTGCTTGCTCTATCTTAATTAGATCAAAAGTTATAAGCGAAAAACTTTTGACCTGTTTTTAGCGAAATTTTTACATTCATGCCCCCAAACCCTCCCCTAAATATTGACCTAGAGCAACCAAATTTGCACAGGGGTGAGAACCCCAGAGGGCCCACCTACCTACCAAATTTGGTGTTTCTAGGTGCCATAGGAGCCAATCGCGAAGGGGGTCACATCGACCCCCTCCCCCCAGGCCGTGTTATGAAAAATGCCCTGCCAGGGCGAGGGTTAAAATTATGTCACTTGTTTTTTCTTTGCAGATGAGGAGAACAATACCTCAATCAAAACGTGTCAAAAGACGTCTCTGACCCCAGCGCTCGGTCATTCTGCGTGCTACCTATGCCGCAGTCTGGCTCTGCCGCGGAGATGCCGTCAGCCGTGGTAGGCTGGCCCGCCGTACACTAGTGTGTTGCGGTACAGTCTACCCGCCAGTGCACCGCTCGGACGACGAACGGCGCGGACTGCTCAATGCTCATCATCCTATACAAACAAACGATAAACGAATGTTTTATAAATGCATGTTTTAAGTTCCTAGGGAGCATAGAAAATAAAACCGTTACTAGAACTGCGTTCACTGACCCACGCCAGTCCGGACATTCCTTTTACAAATAGCCGTGCGTCCAGTTAAACACTCCATAAATCCAACTGTATTACGGCTAGCGCAGAGCGGGCACGTATTTCAGGCTGCCGACCTGCCTCTCAGCGGCGCTCTGGGATGCTTGGCCGACGAGTCCTGTTCCGAGTAACTCACCGGCCTGCAGCCATTCTGCTATCAAGCTCACGATTCATAGCCCCAATCCGGCAAACTGGTGTGGCCCGATAACACGGCACTGTAACTGCCGCGTGGCGGCCTGTTAGTGGAGTGCCCGGCTGCACGGGCGGAGACTGTCCTGTCACATTCGGACCACACCGGACAGCGCGTCCCACCCGGCCCAGCCGACTCGCCGGCCCAGGGGCGTGTGTCGGGGCCGTGAGAAACCGGAGGACCCTCTGAGCGCTTGGCCGAGACCCTGACCCTTCTGGGGTCTTACCTAATTTCAAGGGCCTTCTATTCAGTGTTGGATGAGTGATGTTGTTTAGTAGTCAGTGGATATCTAACTATTCCAGGTACAGGCGGGGCCCGCTGCGCCGATTACGGGTGCCGCCGCGCCGGTCCGCTGGGGCAGTGCAGGGTCACCCTCGAACCACGCCGAATGGCGCACCCCACCCTCGGCCAAACCAACTCAATGATTACATGATGGCCATCCACTTGGACCTCGCCCATTTGTAATCCGCTTCAAAAGGGGATATATCAGCCTAATGGCATCGGGCCGGTTAGTGGTAGTTTCGTTCCGACTGCCGGACGTAACTGACTCGAGTGGGACATAGGACAACCATTTGGATGCATTTCCGATTAAGCCGCGTCCACGATATGACAGAGACCTTTGCTACTTGATTAAATGTGGTCATGTCGGCGCGGCGATGCCCACTCAGTGTTACTTTAATTGGCTGCTTTATGCAACCATAACAACAGGTGCGATATAGTGACGAGGGCGCCCGATTTCCAAGCAACATACAAGACAGAAACGACGTTAACTATGCTTATGAGCTACTATCAGGTTCATCGCAACAAAATTGGACTATGCTTTGCATAAAGATCACCCGTGAACCGGGCGCGGGCAAGGTCGGGTGGTGGTCGCTGGGTCCGTACAGTGTCATTCGCAACAAGCACCAAAAAGCGTGGCAAGCGGGACCACAGCCACCAATTCATCCATTTGGACTGATTTTTTTTTATATTAGTTATGGATTCTGGAAGGAATTTTCCATCGGCAAAATATAAGATATTTAGGCAACAGTTCACGATTCAGCTCTACCTAGCGCAGTACTAAATATGCAACGCTAAGCCAAACGTCAAATCTCTCACGCAGCACTTTAACCCTCGCCCTGGCAGGGGGGGGGGTCGATGCGACCCCCCCTAAGGTTTTTTGAAGATAGCGTAAAAACGGCGGCGCGCAGCGCCGCCAAATTTGGCACAGCCTATGGGGCAACCTTTTTACATATGACCTGAAAATTTCAGGTCCGGGTGACCTTGGGTCAGGTCACCAGGTCAGAAAAACCGGTACAAGGTCATGGTCAAATTTCAATTTTCTTTTTGCACCTCTCCAACTCACAGTTTTTGACTGATTTCCTTCAAACTTTCAGGATGTGCTAAGTTCACCGAGTTGTATAACATATAGTCCGGCTTTTTTGAGGTCACTGACCTGAGGTCAGTTAGAGGTCATTACGTCGTAATGTTAAGCCTATGGGAAAATATTAAATTCGGAAAATACTGGAGATATCCGCTTCGTTCTATCATTTTTGTGCTTTGAAACCACGGTACTTAACAGCAGGTCACTTGGTGCTTCTTTGTTTGGTGTACTTATCCATGGGTCAGGTCAAATGAGGTCAACTGAGGTCAAATGACGTTTTTGCCAATAACTTGGCACATAATGACGCTAGAGCTTAAAAAATGGTACCATTGTGTTCCTGGTGATCAGCCGAATCGAAAGATATGCGATATGATGCAATTTGGTTAACTTGAACTTAATTTATTAATTTAAGTTTACTTAAAATTTAAGAAAAACTTTAAGTACACTTAAGCAAGTTAAAAAGTATATCATTCGACGCGCCTTGACGTGCTGAGTTCACTGGTGCTTTTCTTTTTTCTCTATCTTAATTAGATCAAAAGTTATAAGCGAAAAACTTTCGACCTGTTTTTAGCGAAATTTTTACATTTATACCCCCCAAAACCCCCCTAAATATTGACCTAGAGCGACCAAATTTGCACAGGGGCGAGAACTCCAGGGGGCCCACCTACCTACCAAATTTGGTGTTTCTAGGTGCCATAGGAGCCAATCGCGAGGGGGGGGGGTCGCATCGACCCCCCCCCTGCCAGGCCGTGTTATGAAAAATGCCCTGCCAGGGCGAGGGTTAAAGTTTAAATCATCAAATAAGGGTTATGTCACATTGACAAAATCACGCAAGATATTGAATATGCAGCTGGTGATTTCAATTTACCTAGTCCTAGGCCACCATCACACAGATGACAGAACCATAATTCATAAATCAAAATCCTCCGCCATTTCGACCCTTCTCTTATCGTCATAATAGGCAAACGTCCTTCCCCAGATTTTACAACAGATGATTACAACGAAGATAGGCTCGCTTGCTTGCCTCGCTCACCTATAGGTGGAGAATTGTGCCGAACTGTGGGTGCTCGGGCTCAGCCGATCCACAGCCGCCCTAGCGGTGACCTCGACCCGCGCCGTTCGTCGTGGCTCCAAAGCCAAGCCGGCGCGGAATTGGGAGCGGTCGAGCCCCCATAGTCCAGCAAAATTATCCATCTATGTCGCTCACCCGCTCGTGAATGATGACGGGTACCGACTAATTATTTATTCAAGTCGTCATGCTTTCCATTCTGAGTTTACAGTCTTCCGCGGTCCCTTCTTTCGTTCCCACAGCCTGCATTACGATCTGAACAACTCGAGCCCATAACAGCCTCATAACAGTCCCACGATCTTATAACCCGTATGCACCACCTAACACGTAACTAAAAATCATCTTGTAAGGAATATTTTACGTCTGAATTCATAATTAACCATATAGCTCCACCATTCATTAGGTAGTTATCAGTCTTAACCTCATCAATTACCAGCCAGCTCTCCCACATTAACTAGAGTACATCCCTATTCTGTCTCACCAGTCAAGCCCTCACATATTTCCCAAGTCCAAACCTCCCATATTACCCCCAGTTCAGCCCTCAGCCCCTAACCTGTCCCTTCATTTCAGCTATTCTCCTAGTATAGCCATTACCGCTGTCTCGCCAGTCCAACCTTCCCAAATCGTCAGTCCGCCCTCACCTGCCCTCCAGTCCAGCTCTCACGCCCGCGTGCCGCCGACGCGGGCCGCCACGTGTCGCACCTCCCGCCGGCGCCGGCACCGGTCGACTGACGACCGTCGGAGCCGACGGGACCGCTCACAACGGTCGTCGCTGCGCCGCCGCCGCCGCCGCCTCGGGCAACAGGCCGACGCGACGGTGCCGATACAGCCCCGGCGGTCGGTCGCGACCGGGGCGGCTCCGCATGTCGGGGCATCAGGTGACGACGAGATCGGCCGGCCGGCGACTCGAGCTGGCTCAGATGCTTAAGGTGTAATCCGTTGGTGAAGTGACATTCTTAGGTTGTGCATGCTTCTTAAATTGAGCTTCTGGTGTTATTACGACTGCGACGTAGTACGTTCCTTAGAAAACGCGACTTGCTTAATTGTAGAAATATTTATTTTGATTAACCTCGCAAAATGAGCCCAAAGCTATACAGTCAAGATTGTCAAAGAAAGCCGGTTTGGCGTCATATCATTAATCATTGCATTTACACGGCAGAGACTCGCAATTCAGGCTGATTCATTGTGTGTTTTGGCTTTCGTTGTGAGCTGATCAGCGATTTTTAACGCAGCTGCAAAATACTGGAGCGGGATATGAGGAAAGTTTGGCGGTCCTTAGGGTGCGCTGCGCTCCACCTTAGTGAACAATAAAACGACTCCGAGCAGTGGGCTAATTAATTTAACTGCCGCAAATAACAGCTCTCTCTGGACTTGGATTCGGTAATGAATCAACGACTATAAAACAGGCACCTGGTCCCGCTAATTTCCGTGGCGAGTTAGCGCTTGAACCAGGCAAACAAGCAGCTTTTAGAGGCGCAGAGGATGCGTCCATTGTCAGTGAGGACTGAACGTGCAGGTAGGCAGGTAGGCACCCTAATAGTATGCACGCAGTAAGCCTTTTAGTAGTCAGGTTATCCCTTTGAGATAGTCGTGTAGTAATCTTGAGGTAATCATGTAGTCCATCTTATGACAGTAATGTATGTAGTCATCGTTTAGATCTACATAGTCACGATTAGATACGTGCATCCTGCATTTTTCGGACTAATCTCAGGCAGCTTTTGCCAAATTGTCAGGGAACTCAGATTTGTTTTTCAATAGAAAACACAATTCTAAAGAATAGTGTTTTAACTATTGACAACAAACCTTCGGTTACGATCAATCAACACATGTTGTTAACATGTGTCGGACATATATCCGAACCCAATAAAAAAAAAAAAACTTCAAACATGGCTCCAGTGAGCAGTTCAGTCGCTGAGACTGAGCGGAAAACCGGATGATGTTTCAGTTTCACCAGCATTGAGACAGAATGCACAGTAGGGTAGACCGGGGCAAGTCGCCCCGCCGAGGTAAAACGCCTCACCGATGTTTCTCGGAACTGGCAGAGTTCTGGGGAAACATCCTCTCTTCTATAAAACGTGTACTATATGATCATTATATGAGCAGACTGGAAAGAAATTGTGATGACTCTTTCGGGAGATATAGCCAAAAATGTGTTTTTTGAGTGATTTTTATGTTTTGTGGTCATATTATGCATCATGGCGTTCTTTTATGGTCCACATCAGGCTCACGACTTTTATGTATTTTGAACAACTATTGTCTAACGCTTATCATGCCGGGTTGGTCCGTGGTAAATTATGTCTTGCTGGAGTGCAAGGCGTTGTTCTCTGACCGAACTACGTGATGGGGTAAAACGCCCCAGTAGGTCGCGGGGCAAAAAGCCCCATGGGGCGTTTTACCTCATGTGTTGTTCGGGCTACCCACTTTCTAATGTTCGGTAGCTGGCGAACAGTAAGTTTCTATGCCATTATGTGTATTTTTCTCAGCAACTGGATGGCAAATGAAGTATTTTGTAAACATTTGCATTGCAATAATTTATTATTTGGTCTTATGAGGCAGGTGAAAAACCTGCTCATACAATAGTGTCATAGCTGAACACCTGACAGGATGGAATGTGCTAACTTCAGTGCCGTGCCTCCAGAGGTCTAACGGACCTCTCACATAAGATTTAGCCAACTACCATGTTAAATCTTTAATCTAAAGTATGGGGCTACTTGCCCCAGGCAGTGGGGCGTTTTGCCCTGGGGTTGGGGCAAAATGCCCCATTTGCAGTTGCTTCACAAATCACTTCCTAGCTTGGAGTCCGATCATAAGTGAATGAATTTGAGGGGTGCAATTTAAAGTAAAATGTCCAAAGAACGCATTGAGCAAAAATTTGGCCTTCCAGCTAATGTAGGACAAAATTTATGTAGCAAAATAAATTATCTGGGGCGTCTTGCCCCAGGCTACCCTATACACACAACGCACAGTGTTGTATGTGTTCGCACATTTCTAAACAGTAAACACGTATTGATTATTAGGTGAATCAGTATCGATTTGGGAAATTATGCTCCTATGTAAACAACCCCACTTGGACTAAAAGGTACTGGATATGGACTAATTTTAAAAACAAAATGTATCATCATCTTTTCCCATACCTGCTACATTGCATGATTACATCGAGACATCCAGGCATTTAAACGGCACGTGCACTGTACCACACTTTTCAAAGTTTAATGCAATGCTTTAATATTACCAGCCGCAGGGGGGGTCCGTCCCTTTACCGGGCCATAGGAGGAAAATTGCTACCAAATGCTGCCAATGTGACGTCACTGGGATGGTCGAAAGCTGATTGGTCGCTGAGATTCAGGCGATGCTGTCAATTCTGGCGCACCGGCGCAGTGTTTTCCAGCCGTTGCGTGTATTGTTATACGGAGTTTGAATATTATTTATTTGATAATAATATCACTTTTTATGCGTTTGAAGATCGGAAAAGCATGCACATAAGTGGCATTCACACACTTGTCGTCTCAGAGATCATGAAGAATGACCAGCTTCAGCAGTTCAGCTCAGGTATTCAATTAATTCAACTGTATAAGCATGAGTATCATAGGCAGATCAGCCCCGTTTCAGTTCAACCCGGTTTAACCTTTTTTGTCATTTTTGGCTTTCAAAGGGAGCATGATAAACTCATATTAAGTTGTAAAATGCCTTAGCATTTTAATGAGAAGGAGAATGGAGATGGAATAGTTGTAAATTGTTTCGGAAGTGGCTAGCTTCTATAAATATTAATGCTTTGTGAAAATAACTTATTTGTCAAATTAAATAGTATAAAATAACAAATCAATCTATGCTTACCTCCCAGACTGGAAAAAAATTCACACACTGTCAGATGCGTCAGGGCCCAGGGGCTTTCGAGTTTCGGGTCTCAAAATTCAGCGCAAGTGATTTCTCACCAAAATTTTGGCACATCTTTTGTGCAAAGTTGAAGCTCATTGTTATTTCTTTTCAATATTAGTTGCCAGATTTTATAATTGTATCTAAACTTTCAAATTTTGGATGCAAATTTTGAATTTAAAAGGATTTCTGACATGCTTATTGTTGAAAATCCCATTCTTGTTTATGTAAATGTTATGTAATTGACATTTGCTAACTAAACAAGCTCATCCTTGTCTAATGTCTATATATTGGTTTCTATTTATACCACCTGTGCTACTACTAATTTCTATTTGTTGAGACTATTTACCTAATGCATTTGCTTCATATGATTTTACACGCAGACGCACCTGTGCATGGAACAGTAATGCCAGACCCAAATTCAAAATATTAATGGAAAATTGTGTTATTTGCTTGTTTCACCTGAATTCTGAGTCAGGCCTGCAATGAATACATAAATATGAAATAGGTACATGTTTTGAGGCTTCATATCAGCACATAGAAAAGGCAATCGAAGAAAAGGCACCTTTGGGCATTGATTATTTTTGCTTGCCATCGCCTAGTCAATTTTTTCATGTTGTATTCTGTTAATAAACTTGGTAATGTGTTTTGCAGGTCCGGGGCTGGTCCTCTGGCGTGCAGGACGGCGAGGAGTGGCTACCTGCACATAACAACACAATGACTGGCACCGAGCTGAGGGTATAAAATCACATCATATCGACTTCAGCATCTGTCTCCCAGCTTTGGAGACGTCGCCCGACTCCCGAGTCCCTGAGTGGCGAGCGCCAGTTTCCGAAAGGAAGTTGAGGAAGGCGACCCGAAAGCACCCGCTGGGCTGCCGACACTCCTGCGCTGCCAGCAGGGCGTGCTGCGCAGTAAAGCCTCGCTGCGTGGTCTGTACGACATCCGACACCGGCACCCAGACGTGCAGTTTCTGATGACATCCCACCTCAACCAGGGCTGCCCCGAGAATCTGCTAGTGCTGACTGCCTGCTGCTGAGGCCGACCTGCCGGACCTGTCGCCGCCCTGGTGAGCCTGAGCCGCCCTGGGACCTGCTGCCACCCCAGCGGGCCTGCCGCCGCGTCTACGCTGCCGCCCTGGTGAAACAGGTCCGTCGTCGCCCTGCCGGACCTGTCGCCGCCCTGGTAACCCTGCTGCCGACCTGTCGCACTTGCCACCGCCCTGGTGAATCTGCTGCCGACCTGCCTGACCTGTCGCTGCCGTGGTGAACCTGTTACTGACTTGCCGGACCTTTCTCGCCGCCTTGACGAGCTTGGGGAGTCTGTGCTGAGGTGCCACCGCTCTGTTTCACGTGTTATGTTGCCCGGTTCCTGGCTGTCGCGGAGTCAATCGGCACATTGTGTTTGAAGAGGCGACATCTTGTACAACTTTCCGACAGTTCGGAGCATTTTATTGTACCTACTCAAGTCGCAAGAGATTAGGCTTGTGCCTTATTTGTCCTCTACCAATCTGTCCAATATGTTTTTTTTATAACTACGATTTATGGTATGACATAAACCGGTATATTGTGTACGCATTTGGTTCGTTCCAGTCAGAAGTTTGGAATGTGTACATATACTTGTGTTACCTACGGTACAATTTCGGTTTGTGCAGTTCACACAACCTCTCTTAATTATGGGGCGAAATAGACGCAAAACCAGGGCTGCGGAGTCGGAGTCAGGGTCGACAGTTCTGACCGGACTCGGAGTCGATTTTGGAAACCGAGTCGGAGTATGGGTCACCGAAAATCCATCGGCTCCGCCAGGGCTGCGGAGTCGATGGATTTTCGGCGACTCCGACTCCGACTCCGACTCCGACTCCGGCTTTAAAAAACCAGCTCCGACTCCGACTCCGACTCCGGGCAGAATTGTCGACTCCGACCGACTCCAACTCTCGACTCCGACTCTGCAGACCTAGCAGGGCTGCGGAGTCGACATATTTTCGGTGACTCCGACTCCGGCTCGGGTTTCTAAAATCGACTCCGACTCCGACTCCGCAGCCCTGGCCGCTCCGCAGATCTGGCAGGGCTGCGGAGTCGGAGTTAGAGTCGGTAGGAGTTGATTACCCAGCCCGGAGTCGGAGTCGGAGTTGGTTTTTGGAAGTCGCGGTTGGAGTCAGAGTCACCAGAAATCCATTGACTCCGAAGCCTCGCGCAAAACTATGGCGATTTTCATCTACGAGAGGGCCGCCGATGTGCTGGCCGGATCACCGGCGGGGCGTACGTTGGCTCGGTCCGATCCCAATAATGTGGCCAAATCTTTGGTTCGAGTAACAGCTGGTCCTGATTTGCTTCACTGAGGAAACATCACACCGTTCTGCCTTGCATCGGACATCAAAACTGCACTAAAATCCGCTGAAAACGTATTTAAACGTCCGTCCTCCATAATGGCTACGGACGGCGGCCGGCGAGTTACCATCCCAGTGACGTCACTCGGGCCCGGTAGGGGGACGGTAAAAAAAAGCCTGATGACCATACCTGGTTATATGGCCTTGACCAGCCGTGTGGTTCAAGGGGTGTGGGTAAACACGTTGAACCACACGGCTGCTGACGTCACTATCATATAGTTGTGAGCTTTTTGGCAGGTATGGGAAACAGCTTCCAGCCCTAAGGCCGGGAATTCAATAAATGTCACCTCGCTTTTTTTCAGCAAAATCACCTCGGGCCTAACGGCCCTCGGAGTTTTCGCTAAAAAACCTCGGTGACATTTATTGAATCATCCCGGCCCCGGGCAGGAATATATTCTCCCACCCGCATCTTGATGGGAAAACGAGCCCTTCCTTCGCCGTTTCAAATAAGTTCTCTTTTATGTATTTCCATCAAACTGTGTGCATTATTCCTTCAATCAGTTTCACACACTTTAACGAGAACAATCGCCAAATTCACTGTGAAATTATCAGCTTGATTGGTATCTGAAAACTTGTCTAATGAGATGGTTTTCTAACAACGCTCTAGTTTTCTTTCGATACGCCCACAAATTTACTCAAGAGCTTGCTACTGTTTATGAGCGAGACCAATTCATACTTTCTGTATAAGGATTAGCTGATATTGGAACACTTTGCTCGATGAGACCGGCATTTTCCTGTAAACGGACTTGGCCGCGTCCCGAGGAGTTCAGATTGCGTGTCGGCTTCTCGAGAAGCGACTTAGTGACCCAAGTTTGGCTCTGCATCGAGGCCGATTTTCATTAGAACTTCTTCCCGCCCCATCGACGCGACTGTTTCCAATATCTGGCGCCAAGTTTTCTCCAGGGCCTCCCTCCATCTCATCAAGGCTGTTAAGCACACTTAAAAATGTTGCAATTGATGTATTTTGCAGCAACCAAATAGGCCATTTGGTAGTTAGAACCCAATGTACAACTGTCACAGGAGCAGAAATTTATGTGACTTTTGTAGTTACTTACACGAATAACGGTACTTGAAGTCTTGAACGTACCATGCAACCATCACTTGAGATCCATTGCTGTTTATACACATTACACATATCCCCACAAACACTATCACGGTTGGGGAAAACAAGTAAAAAAACACACAACGGCGCACCATGACCGTAAGAACACTCATACATGAGGCATCAATACTTCTAGACATCAGCTGGAACACGGACTGATCCAAATCCGTCTGAGTTACGAATCGTCCAACAGACAGGTCTCAGCTGGCCCTGTTTAGACACACCTTACCGAGGCCCAAGTCATAGACCTGTCAGAAGCCGTCCTTACCAGGGACACTAGCATCCACCACAACACGCTGCAGTATGAATTCTAGCGTCGGTCGGGACACACCCTGGCATCAACAGGCAGCAGCAATGACACACAATGGGATACAAACCAAAAGCGCCCGCGCGTCCTCGGACAAACCAGAGCCACGACACAGGCAAGTCGCGGCCTGTTGATTAGTCGGAAGTATACGGAGACTTACACCAGTGAACGGTGTCGTAGGTAGAAAACCGATCTGGTCCGCCCTTCCACGGGCCACGTGCCACGTCCCGATCGTAAAGCCACGTACCAAGACACAATGTCCCAAAATTTGTCTATTTGGGTGGGAAACGACATCCAAATGAAATTCATTTTCCACTCTCACCACCATTTTTAAGAACAATTTTCCAATCCGAAGTCCCAACCAAGAAAACATAGATTTTGTACCTATAGAAAGACAGTTGTGTGGATGCCCAATTAGCATCAAACATTCTACACCCCAGAATAAAATGCATGCTTTTTGTCATTTCTCACTCCTTTTTTATCTAATCGAATCAGCAGTTTTCCACTCTCTCCCCTCTTTTTGGTGGGTAATTTTCCCCTCTGACACCCAAGACAAAACTCAATTTTGGGACACTGCCAAGACATGGCCATGAGAGCCACGTGCCATATTTGGCCCAAAAGCGTGCAGCAGTGAGCTGCCAGCCTCCCATATGAAGAGGGCAGCTGTCAGTCGTCCGGCAGTTCTGACCATCCACCGATCTGAGGAGAGAAACAAAAACTTCAGCAACGGTGGCCATCTAAACGGGACACAAAGTCGGCGGCGGGCATGAGACAGGCGCTTGTGGGTCGCTGAAGACCCATTAAATGGTAGTCATTCAGCTTCATCATGAGCGTCGATGTTCAGCAAAAAACAGTTCCCTGTCCTTGTTTCCTTATCCAACGAACAGAGCTAATTTAATTTACTGCAAACCTCTTACGAAAAAAGACATCTTCCGGGAACCACTAAACTGCGCAAAAGAACTGTTGCAAACTGCTGGGAACATCGCTATATCAACTTCCTTCAGCAGACAAATCACCGGGAAAACCATCATCTCCACTCTCTGACGTTCATCATCCCACCTTCCCCGCTGACAATCCAAGTGAAACCGCTCGGCAAAAAAAATATGTTCGGAGGCGGGCGGACAGACAGACGGACAGACAGACAGACGGACAGACGGCAGCGGGCGGACAGACGGACAGACGGCAGCGGGCGGACAGACAGACAAACGGACAGACGGACGGACAGACAGACAGACGGACAGACGGCAGGCAGCAGGCGGACAGGCGGACAGACGGACGGACGGCGGCGGACGGAGGGCCGCCCAGAGGCGGAGGGACAGAGTGCGGCGACAGGCGCTCGTTGTTGACACCGGACCACCGGTCGACCGACCACCTGGCCCCGCCGCTCCTCGCCAAACGACCAATTTGGCCAAGTTGGCGGCGGAGCGGGCGCCGCCGGCCGGGCCGCCAAGTTGGCTCGTTGGCCGCCGGTCCGTGTTCATCTGTCTCCGAGTATTTTACTGTTTAGCCATCAGCTCAGGGCAGGATGGAGCGCGGCAGAAGGGTGGCCGGGTTCATCCAGGGCAGAGGACGGGAGGGGCAGAGGAACGGAGAGCTCCGTGTTGTCCATAGAGAGGCGACGAGTTTGACATAGTTGCAGCCGAAAACAGCCCAGTTCTTCGGCGGCGGAATTCCACGAAGGAGCTGCAAGAAGTCTTCAGTTGACTTAATTTGAATGACTATGCATTATGCAAGAAAGTTTGGTCCTATGAAGGGACTGTGAATTACAACTTCGAGTTATTTAGATGATTCTCATGGCCCTCCAGCTGTGTTGAACCTGGTAAAATCGTCCTAGAACATACTAATTTCGTTTCTATTGCAATCCGGGAGTATCAGAATAATTTACACAAAAAAATGGTCCTGAAAAACCAGCATTCTTCAACGGCAAAACCCAAACCAGCCTTTCACAAAGACACTGAAGGCGATTCTAATGCACTCGACCAGTCAATCTTTATGAACGAGCGCAAGGAGCAGTCAAATGCCTCGGCACTCTAAACAGCCCTGGTAAATCGTGTCGTAGGACATGGCTGTCTCTGTTCGATGCGCTAATGGAAGTAGTGACGGGACACTTGGGCCATCCTGTTCGAATTACGCTGCACCCCGACACAATGCATCCTCAGAAGTGGCCGTTTCACAGGCCGAGTACTTGACCCCCCCCCCCTCCCCCCACTACCGTTCCGACTCGGACACCCACAGTGACCCGTCGCCCACGGTCGATCAAAATCATGCTTCCATTTGTCAACGTCATGCGGTGATATTGAATGCATCATGCGATGCAGCATGCATCAAATTTCCATCGGCGCGATTTAGTGCATGACTGGCCGTTGGAGAGATACGTGGGATTATGCCGTAAGATGAATCGACACCGGGGTCAGTTTTATGGGGCGGTGCCGACGCTGCCCGACCGGCCAATAGGCGAACACAACGGGACGGATATCTCCACTCTTGAGGGTGAGGTAGAACATATCACAGGTAAATCTAACATACCGTGCTTTTGTATATAAGGCATTCGGCATGGATTGACAAATTATCAGCCCAGTAAATTAGTGGAAATCTTTCCTAAGCCCTGATACACATGGAGATGTTGCCGTCGCACGGTGGCCTTTTATGCTAGAATTCCTTTTTGTGGTCTAGTATCAGTCTAATAACACCAGTAACATCAATAGTATCTCAATAAAGATCGCCATATTCAAACGAATACGGCCATTGTGCCAGAATAGTTCCGTGGGGAAATACCACGAAAATGACTGGTGGGATGCGGCCGAATATAGCTCTATATTAGATTACTTCCGGCGATGACCACTATCGAAGAAGCGGAACTAGGTCCAGTGGGAGGCTCTCGGTGGCCGCTCGGGGTCCAGAACAGAACGGAAGGAAGTCACTGATCTTGGAGCCAGGAGAGGATACGTCCAGTCTCCGAGACAGCTGCTTCCGCGGGGAGACCGATGGCCTGTGCCCAAACAGATGAACGGGAAGCGACGTGGTTTACTTTTCTCTACTCTGGATAGGAAGGCCAATGTTTGACACATGTCAACATAACTCCTTCGGTCCAATGTTCTATGCACAGAGCTCGTTACTAACGGAGTGGTCCCACGGTAGTTCAGCAGGCTTCAAAGCATCATATCCGCAGAGCAGTTACAATGATTGACATCAGCGGTACAGAATAACAAGAATACATGTTGCGATAAATCATAATCCATTGACATATTGGCGGCTATGAGGCACGATGGCGTTTCCTTTCATGGACGGCATCAATCGGAGCCGGCCATCAGCCGGGGTCGGATTGAGCCAATGTTACAAATCGACACACATCTCGCGAGGTCGGCCCAGAAATGGTGGCCTCACACTCTCAGCTGGGCCCCATCCGGGCTGATGGCACGCAGTAAAACCACTATTCGGGCAGGATCATTTGCCGATGATGAAGCGACGTTAAATTCGTGAGAGCTGTTGGACCATGATGAAATCGTTCATAGCTATCGCTATCAATTGACAGAGTCGTTTGACTTAGCCACATATGTGTGCCTTTTGGATGTTAGTACTGAAATATGCCGCCTACATCATCTATGAGCACAACTCTAAAGTTGTTCAAAGGAATATACGTTGACGTGTTTCACTTTTAGCTTAGAATACTGAAAACGAACTCAGTCCTTACCGTGCGATGGGTAGAATGAAGTATCAACATACCTAACCCTTGACCGCAACAGGTCTGTATGCATGCTGATCACAATGCGATGACAATTTGAAACCGAATGATAAATAAGATACCCGACAAAAATAACACGAAGGGATACATTTGGCTCCCACTGACACAAGACACTCACTGGCACAAAGTGTTGCATTTGATATCCACTGATACGAAGTGCTGTATTTGACTTCTAACGCTGCTGGGGTGCCCCTGGTCCTTCCCCGTCGGTCCAAGAAATGAGCTCACCAGACTAACATTAGCTAGCGCCGGTGTGTGCCGCTAGCTAATGGAGCAATCAGACAAGTTCGCCACCCCGAATGGCGTCCGGGGTTTCTTCAGACGGCGCGCGGGTGAGAGGTGAGCGCTGGCCCCGCCGCGCGCCGGGGGTGGGACGAGGGATGGAGTCACTCTCCTCCTTATTTCGGTAGGAGACGGAGACGGTAGATGTTGGGGCCGGCAGGGAAAGTCTTCATGCTCAGCTGAGGTGGAGTTTGAATTTGCGATAGGTTAAGTCAAAAGTTCGCTAGCTCTAAAACAGTGTCTCTTCAAGATTGTTATATTTATTAAACCCAGAAAAGTAAAACATGTGCCGATTATCCCAAATGGCTGCAAGTCAAGTCACCAGCCACCCTCACGGTCACCCAGAGCTCAACAGTCAACACCCGTCCGCCGTCCGCTTGCCCCTCCTACCCATACCCACCAGCCCACTTCCTGGTGCCGATCCCCACCCTCCGGTCCAACCTGCAACACTGGCACGTTCCCCCAATCCCTAAAACCCGTGCTCATCTTCCCTGATCCTTCCCCTGCCCCCCCCCCCCCACACACACACACATCCCGAGGCCTGTCTCAGTGACGACACAGTCGTCATCGGGCCTCTTTCCAGACACTCGGCAAACACGACCAAACGGGACCGGCGGGATGATGGCAGACGTGAGCGCACACAACAGCACGGGATTCCTACCAGAAGGTCGATCAGTGACAGAAGTGTGCCACGTCTTATACGTGCACGAGCGGATCCGTACAGAGATATTACACATAATCCAAATGTAACTACGTTCTTGGACGTAGCAGGATGCAAGGCAGGATATCTAAAAAAAAACTGCAGTGTATGGCTATTGAAACGGGCCATTATTTACTGTTTAGAAGAGATCTAACAAAAATACCATCGTTTATTTTCGGCTTCATGCTGGCTCAGCAGCTGAGTCAAAAGGAAGACGATTTCAATATGGTCAACTGCTGAGTGGGCCTTAGGCTCTGCACGATCTGGCTATGGATGCTTGCGTCGACATATTCTCCAAATGGCGAGCTCTAATCTAACATCAAAGCACTGAACCGGTCCAAGTGGCCAAAGCCCCAGCTGACACCTGAGATATGCGTTTGCATCTGTGTGTCAGTGGGGTAGCGGGAGTCTACGAGCGATGTGTATACTTGAACTGTATGCATACACCGTGTATGTTTGAGTACAAATACGACAAATGTTTGACACAAACACTGAGGCTTCTTGGCAACTTGCATACGAAATTAAGGTTGCCCTGCAAATTGCACAGTGGAGCTCGCGACTGCAAAGTGGGCAATTAATCACTTCGGACTCTGGGAAATGTCAAAAGGGTCCGGTCGCCGATGCAGAAACCAATACCGTATGGGTGTAATGGTGCGCCATTAGCTGACTTTGAAAGGCACGGGGGAAGACACAAGACACAGCTTCACCAGGTGACTGTGATAGCAAAGCAGTAATTGTAATACATCGCAGTCATTTGTATACGCATTCTAAGTGAACATCTGAAAGGGTTCTCAGGGTTAAAAAAAAACAGTCAAAGGGTAAGTGCGATATAAAACTGCGATAAACTGCGAACTGCGATAAATAAAGAAATAGCTGGTGTTCAATTATTGTCTTTTATAACTATGGTAAACGTGTCTTTTATAGCTATGGTAAATGCGATAAGAAAGATCGATACGGATTGGACTATATTATCACTCACAAAGTTAAACCCCGGCAGGACCATTCCATCTTACCTTGTCACAGTCACGTCGTAACAACCACGCCGGCTGGGACGAGTGCTGTTACGTGTCATCGTGCTACGGTCGCGGCTTTTTGTTGAGCGGACTGGCAGCGTCGGGCAGCGGGGAAGACTGGACCACAATCTCCTCAGAGTCCAGTGACGAGTTCATACTGAGAAAAGACGAGAAATCGCAGATGATACATCAGAAAAAAAAGTTAAAATACGTGCACTGCAGATGACATGTGTCACATGTCACATGTCACATGTGAGACAGCACAAATCAGTGCACTTTGGCACAAATGGGTTGCGCAATGCGCATATGAGAGATACATTACCACACATCAGCCAAGATATATATATATATATATATATATATATATATATATATATATATATATATATATATATATATATATATATATATATATATATATATATATATATATATATATATATATATATATATATATATATATATATATGTTACAGGGAGTATGCGATTTCAGTTAGTTTGCAACGACCCTAGGGTGGTTGTAACCTCCCTGAACGATCAGTTTGTTTGCAACGACCCTAGGGACGTTACAAAATAACTGCTCGTTCCGGGACGTTGTAACGAAACTAGGGTCGTTGCAACCTCCCTAGTTAGTATGCAACGAACCTAGGGTTGTTACAAAATAACTAGGGAGTTTAAGAATTCATCGAGTTTTGTTTCACAGGAGGGCCGTCAACAATCTTGACCAATGAAAATCTTGTTCAATCTACATAGTTCAGTATAAAAGAAAAGGAGAACAAAATTTGAACATTCAGCCAAGGAGTATATGTGGTGCCCGGGACAAAGCACGTAACTGTGATAATGTTGGCTGCATTATATCGCCAGCATATGCTTACATGTAGAAAATATAGTTACTGGGGTAGGTGTGATGGATATCCGTCGCTATCCGTTTGCAGGTTATCCCTCACACTTTTTGGGGTGCGGGGCGGATAAAACCCCTCGTTTTATTTCGCGATTATCTCGCGCTAAAAGCGGCCGATCGTGACGAAACTTTGAGTGTCCTCGAACTTATCTACGTTACTGGTTACACATTCCCTATACAGTTCATGATCCTGAAACCAATGGCATTTGATCTTTGATCTGATTTCTGAGACCATGGTAGACCGAAATTATTTGCCATATATGTTAGCGCACATAAAATTGCGTTTCCGTACTTCTATTGTGATTACATATAAACGTGCCAACATGTGAACTGATGGTTGTCCCATGCATCATGATGGGTTTCAAGTTGAATTGTCAGTTGTCGGCCAGGTCAAGGTTATTGACGTTTGGTGACTTCGGGTGACTGTTTCAAATTTTACGATTTTAATGGATTTTTTTAGCTTATTTTGAATCCAGCATTCGTTGAGACATTTGAGAAGTACGTAGGTATAGTTGTAACGCCAATGCAACTTGCTACGAAGCTGTCGCTGGTGGTTTAGGTACACCTGCTAATATAAACAGGTTGTGCGGGTGGGACGCTTTACTTGACCCAAACTTACCCAACCCAGCCTGGCTTTATCCTCGCCCCCCCCCCCAAGATTTTTTTCGCGATAGCTCCGAACACGCCAGCAACAGAGAGCTGAAACTACGCATACCTGACCTTTGATTCAAGCCAGATCTCGTGATATCAACCAGATTTTCAGGTCAGGTCAGGTTACTGACCTATGACGTCATAAGTGGACGGTCCTCAGATGCCGCAACTTCGCAACGCCCTCAGTCCCAGAGGAGTTTTTACAGGGTGATGAAGCTTACAGTACGTGCATCTTCTAAAAGTCTCACATTGTACCTCTAGGATTTTTCCTAAAGATCACATGAGGTCAGGTCGGTCACGTGACCTCACCACTAAAAGTCCATTGAGAAAAATGAAAACTGCTATTCTGGCGCCGGGAACGATCTCAAACTATCTCAAGCACACGGATCGTGATTTAATGCACTCCTTGCAAGGTTAGATGCTTCAATTTTGCATTGTTGATGTTGCATGACGTCATTTATGACGTCACTAGGGTCATACGAGCTTTTCGTCAATAACTCCCGATCAAACTGAGCTAGCGAGACGGTTAACCCGCGCCCCGTTGGGCTCTGCCGAGCAACGCGCCCGGTTGGGGGGGGGGGCATTTTGCCCCCCCCCCCCTAAGATCTCGAGAACCACGCAACATAGCGACAAGCGGTAAACGGCGTTGGATAGCCCCAACGGAGAACTACCTTGTGACCCAATTTTATTGACCTAGGTCAAACCGATGACGTCACAGGTCAGGTCAAAGGTCCAATTTTCACCGTTTACAGGCACTTCAAGAAACGCGTTGTGAAATCGAGTAAAATGCATTTCATTGAAAATCATCGATGGGGAAATGTTCTTCAAACACATATTATGCTATTTGAGGTCACTGATACCAGGTCAGGTCACAGAGGTCAGGTCACGGGGGGGTCACAATATGAAAGTGTCGTGTGATACATGTTTTATGGTCCATTTTACATGACAAATGCGATTATATGGGTCAGGCAGCCTTTGGGGCCAGCTTAGGTAACGTTTTGGTCAAGGTCAGGTCAAGGTCAGGTCAAGGTCAGGTCAAATTAGGTCAAATTTCAAAGTTGATATTTTTGCATAAAATGGGTATCGAATCGACGCAGCTCGTCACGGGGAGTTCAATGGTGGTCTTTGTTTGGCCGTACGTGGTCTAGAATTGCTAAAAATTGAGTTCAAAAATTTGATGTCATCATTTTTGAACAGTTTTTTCGCTATAACTTGGCAAAAAAACGAGATATCGATCTGAAATTTGGTATGTATATAGAAGAGCGCTGGTACTATCACATATATTCCGGTTTTTTCGAAATTCGGAAAATTTTGGATTTTTTCTAAGTTTTTCTAAAAAAATCAATTTTTTGAATTTTTTTTGGTCAAAAACCAAAAATTTTGAAAATCCGAGATAGCAGCCTTGTAGCGCCGCTTTTTGTCTACTAGACCATATAAAGAACTTTGAAATTGCTTGATAACTGTAGATTTGGTGAGCGTTTCAAGATTGCATGTTTTTTGCTCATTTTTGCTCGAACATGACCTCAGTTTGACCTCAATAACTCCTGACCTAAGGTGACCTAAGACTTGAAATTTGGTGTGAAGGTGTCAAATTGATGCCCGGGAAGGTACTGAAAATTTGGCGGCGCTGCGCGCCGCCGTTTTCTTGCTATTCAGGAAAAACCACAGGGGGGGCCAAAATGGCCCCCCCCCCAACGGGGCGAGGGTTAAGCCACCGATGGACACAGGAAGACCTGCCGAATCGAATAATATGCAACATGACCTCCTTTGACCAATTTCGCGACCTAGGGGTCTTTGACCTGACCTTGACCCGAGGTCAACATCTTAAGTTGACCTCACCCGAACAAAAAGTATACCATTCGATGTGCGTAAGCAAGGCGAGCACGTTGATGCTAAAATCGCGCTCAGCGACTGTTTTTTAAGAAGTTATTAATAAAAAACCGAACCCGTGTCTTGGGTCACTTGAACTGACGGTCACCGGTTGACCTGAAACCTTAAACTCGGGTACTAGTTACTGTGTCTCCTAACGGCACACACGCTCGTTTTTTCCGCGACGCTCTAACTCCATCAGGGGTGAAAAATGACGAGAGGGTCATACCAACCCTCCCCCCGGCCGGCGCGTATGTAGAAAACCAGGTCCTGCGGTGTTAACTCTCGCCCTTATTGGTGTTTTGCTAGCCGCAAACGCACAGGGCAGGGGTAGGTTATGGGTTGACCTTCCAGGTCAGGTCAGTGACTCAAAAGTCAGGAAAATCGGGACCTGTTAAAACTTTGGAGAGTTAGTTTGTTACGAGTTTTTTTCGGGGCGCTGATCACGAATTTCATATTAGCTTTGATCACCGATGATGTCTTGATGTTTTTAGGCCAGGTCGGGTAAGGTCAGGTCAGGTCAACCAGTAGGTGTCTTGCTAGCTGTCCATAGTAGGTGTCAATCATCACTGGCAGCTTCGTGACATGGTACGAAGGCGCCAAAATTACTTCTTTAATGTTCAAATGGGTGCTAAATTCGAAATCAGCTCCAAAAACTAGCCTAAAAATATATGAACCCAGAAAAAGTGAACTAAGGTCATCAAAGGTCAATGACATTGACCTGACCTTCACGTGACCTTGACACCCACCATAATGCATGGGACCACCATCATTTCACATGTTTGAACGTTTATAATCACAAAAAGACTGGAAACGAGCGGATAATGGCCGTTTTTACGAAGGGCTTCCTGGCGAATGTCCATCTAATTTGCACAAAACTGCACCAACTGTGCACCTAATCTGCGCAAAATGTGCACTAGATGGCCGTCGTGAAATGCTCCTAAGCTGAATGTTTAAATTTTGTTCTCTTTTTCTTTTAGACTGAACTGGATTAGATTGAACAAGATTTTCATTGGTCAAGACTGTTGACGGCCCTCCTGTGAAACGAGACTCGATGAATTCTTAAACTCCCTAGTTATTTTGTAACAACCCTAGGTTCGTTGCATACTAACTAGGGAGGTTGCAACGACCCTAGTTTCGTTACAACGTCCCGGAACGAGCAGTTATTTTGTAACGTCCCTAGGGTCGTTGCAAACAAACTGATCGTTCAGGGAGGTTACAACCACCCTAGGGTCGTTGCAAACTAACTGAAATCGCATACTCCCTGTAACATATATATATATATATATATATATATATATATATATATATATATATATATATATATATATATATATATATATATATATATATATATATATATATATATATATATATATATATATATATATATATATATATATATGTGTGTGTGTGTGTGTGTGTGTGTGTGTGTGCGTATGACGTCTATTTCTGCCACATAAGCTTCTTTTTGCCTTCGCAAAAAGGCTAGAAACAAGTGACGTCCGCTGCATTCTCGTCGCAGCGAAGCCTTCCCAGAAACAAGTCTGTTGAATTACCGGTGACCGAACTGGGCCAGTAAATAAATCCCTCGCGTGGGAGTCGGCAGCAGTCTGACGTCCGACCCAAGCAGAGGTCAGTGCCGATTTGGGGCTGGCGGCCTGTCGACGGGCGGTCTATCATTTCCCTGGCGGACGCCTTGACACGTCGGTACTGGCCGTTCGTGCGGGCTCATCGGCCGTCTCCTCACTGGGGGCGGGCTAAATATCACAGCAGGTCACGGCCGGACGAGCCGAGGGGCGCCAGGAGAGCGGCGCTGGCCAGCTGCGGAGGCGGGTCCTCCTCGGCAACCACCCAGACGAGTGGTGACGCGGGTGGGTGGCAGTGACGAATTCAGCGGAGAATAGGAAGTGTGGAGACAATCAATGAGCCTAATCAGACGAGTAGGAAGATTGGACAGAAATACTGTGACAGAAAAACAGAAAAACAAAAAAAATCAAAGTGGGCACACTAGAAACACAAAAGTTATCAGTGTTGATGGCCCAGAAATTATTCATGGCGGTACCCGACAGTTTTGCAGAGTCCGTAAAAGTTAGCTCATGCCATTCTGTCAATACCAACTGCAATTAACCTCGCTGTAACAGCCGCCGCCAGGCAACACAGACGTCCGCAATGTGCAAGATAAATAAATTATGAAGGCGTAACTTTGGGTGAACCTCAAGTTTAATTTAACAATGGTCAGTACTTTTACTTTCATTGTCCTCAGATTCCTAGCATTTCGAGCATTATCGTCGCATTACAATACCAGCAACTACTTATGCTTTATTGTCAGCACTTTCCTAGTGCTCCAAGAATTATTCTTGTATCATGCACCCATCCATAATTCCTTTATTCTTTCCTCTCTAACTAACACGAGACGGGTTAACTGCATTCGTCACCTTCATATCCCTCTTTGCATGTAAGCTCGCCATGTGTCTCTTACCCACATTCCTTACTGCCTGTGTGTCTGCCATGTCTGCATCCGTCATCGTCGATAGTCGACATTCAAACGTCAAGGTGTGTTATCCAATATACGCCTCATTATCACGTATATATGCCGATTGCCCACAAGACGTATCGTCTCCACCATCGCACAAGCTCATTGTTCATGGCATCAATGCATGCTATCGTTACTGTTATCCTTGTGGCGAAGACGTCATTACGTTCTTCAAAACCAGCCAGACTCATCTTGCGAGCGAGCGCAACTGTGGTCCCTATACCTGTGCATGCGAAAAGAGAGACCCCTGCTGACTTGTGGCGGGTCACCCACCTAAGAAGTCACTTACGAGTACCAGCTTTGCAATCTGCCCAGACGTTCTCAGCGTGTAGAAACGGTCCCGGTGTGCAGCAGCGCGCCAAACACGGTGGGTGCCCAGCGATAGGTAAGCGTTATAGGATCAGACGTAGCGGAGCTACTGTACGTGCAATAATGGTGAAAACCCCTGTATACTGTATAAACACATGACAAGTGCCGATACCGTCGGTCAGATGCTTCAGAGCAGTCAGATTCGAGGTAGAGGGGATGGGATGAATCCAACAATGGAGATCACTACCTAGTCAATCGGCGTAAAAGCTGCTGAAATATAGCCATCTCAAGAGCTCTAGCGAGGCAGGCCTGTCGGCCGGTCGCTAATGCTAAGGCTTTCCGAAGAATTCGCGAAAAACTCGTTTCGCAGTCACTAATAAAAACACATTTAGCCCATCCTCTGACATCTACAAAAACATCACATTCGCATCAAATGTGGCAGGATAAATCTACGTCGAGCTCCAATGAGAAGCGTTCAGCAGAGACGCACATACACGTGACCGACTTACCCCACTAAATCATCAGCCGACTCAAAGCTCATGTTGGGGTAGGCGGACATGTCGATAGTTCCACCAGGCCCGACAGAGGGCAGGCCAGTCGGCGTTTCAGCCAGAATGTCCACCAGTAGACTGTGAATGCAAACGAGCAGTTAGCAACGCAAGATAGATACGAGCAATACAAAAATGAGTAAATAGCACAGCCGATGACAGTATCTGACTGCAACATACTTTAACACAAAACAGGGGCTTGATGGGCTTCAAAAAACACGAAAAAGACTACGCATCTGAATCTGTTCCACATCTTCGAATTTCGAAACATATCTAGATCAAAAGCGAACCACCCTACTCCATTTCAGCCCACCCCGAGGCAGTGTAAAATTTTTCCGGTATTAGCCTGGAAAATCACAGTTAATGAAATCTGCTAATTTTTCATCCTGGCTCATAATTTTCATCTTTCAACACAAATGCACCAAATCCTTATTCAAATCGGTTAAAATGTCCCAAAATAATGTTAGAAGGTTAAGAACTGTACCTATCATGAAAACCACAAAAAATATACATGATAAATTATACGCACCTTCCTTTCCAATCAGCAATGATAGTAATGACACATGGAAATATCTCAGCACAGTGTATGTATCATGCGCTTCGTGATTGCCTCGATTAAAAAAAGAAACAGAACAATAAAAAGGTGTAGGTAAGTGCAGATAAATACACTCGATAATACAATATTATCAATCAATCGGATATATTATAAAATATATGTAAATTTGATTGATAATATTGTATTATCGAGTGTATTTATCTGCACTTGCCTACACCTTTTTATTGTAAAAATCAAAATGTCCGTATGTATGTATGTATGTATGTATGTATGTATGTATGTATGTATGTGACGCGTCAGTCACGCTTGGCGGGCTATTGCTCCGGAACGGTGCGGGCTACGGGGGTGAAATTTTGAACGTAAGTCGGACGCGTGCATCTGTTTGTCGTATCAACTTTTTGAGGGGGTGCGTGCAGCGGTGTGCACGTGGCGGGCGCATCTTTGCGGGATTTTGGGCCGCGGCCGTCGCCGATCAGAGAGCACGCGCATTAGCCTCAGTTTCTTCGCTTGCAAAACTGAGCGAAATCAGAGCCGGAAGGTCACTGACCTTTGGCAATGAATACCGGAACAGAGCACCGCCGGCCAGGAGGAGACGCCAGATTTATTCTGGCCATAACTCGGCCGCTACTGGGCCGATTTTAACGAAAATTGATTTATTACGCTGCACGTAATGCTGTCCCTCTTTACGCTGCGCGTAATGCTGTCCCTCTAGTTACATATATAAAAATCAAAATGTCCGTATGTATGTATGTATGTATGTGACGCGTCCGTCACGCTTGGCGGGCTATGGCTCCGGAACGGTGCGGGCTATGGGGGTGAAATTTTCGACACAAGTCGGACGCGTGCATCTGTTTGTCGTATCAACTTTTCGAGGGGGTGCGTGCAGCGGTGTGCACGTGGCGGGCGCATCTTTGGGGGATTTTGGGCCGCGGCCGTCGCCGATCAGAGAGCACGTGCCGTAGGCTCACTTTCTTCGCTTGCAAAACCATGAGCGGAAACATCGCTGGGGGTCATTGACCTTTGGCAATGAATACCGGAACAGGGCACCGCCGGCCAGGAGGAGACGCCAAATTTATTCTGGCCATAACTCGGCCGCTACTGGGCCGATTTTATTGAAACTTGGTTTATTACGCTGCACGTCAGGGGCGCCGCCACGGATTTTTGACTGGGGGGGACGGACTGACCGACTGAAAACCCAAAAGTAGGCATTCTTACCGTGGCTTTTTCGGCCCGATGCATTCAAAGTTTAAAGCAAATATGCCACTTTTAACATTGGGTTTTGAACTGAAGTAACAGTTTTGTAGCCTGAGCTGAGACAAGAACAAATCAGGAGCTTTTATGGCCCAACGATCACCCTAGCCAAAGATATCGGTATCGATTTTAGGTTTGAAGACTTAGGTTTTGAAGACCCTTGCCGAGGAATCCATTCCCTTACGGAAAAATACCAGCCAATCAGCATTCAGCTGGTTTGAACTACTCTTTCTGGTTTGTGCATGAATCGGCGCGAAGCGCCGCGAAAATTGGCCAAAAAAAAAAACATCAGGCAAAACTGCTCCAAAATACGAATTTTGCAGCCCGTTTAACAAGTTTGATACCAGAAAACTTTAGGTCAGGTCACCAAGTCAAGTAGTCAAGTCGCCTCAAAGTTTTGTGGCCCTGTCAACGGTAGGTATAGCTTATTTCTTAGAAGCTGAAAATTTAGTGTCGTGTGACTGCAGAACTGTGGGGTCGGAGCCGGAATTAGTCGGAGTGAAAGTTTTGGCCAGAGTCGGAGTTGAAGTCTTCGAAATTGTTCGGATTTTGACTCCGAGGTCGGATTGGTTTAAAATCATGCTCTTGGCTAGTTAGACGAAATATATTATGCCCGTTTTCTGCCAGTCGTGTTATGCGACACACGTTGATCACGATATCAAAAATCGGCAGTTCCGCGATGACGGGTCGGATAAGAGCTGGAGATTTTGTTGGCCGAGGTGGCAGGGGTCAGACCAATGCATGTAGGCCCATACCCCATATACTGAGTATCTAAACCTCCTGGACCCTCTCAGATTCGGCACCGTTCCATCTCTTCCATCCTCAGGACAGTCAAATCCTTCTCCTCCACGCCGCGATCCCCTGCTCCGGGCTGGACGGGCAACTTTATCCCATGCGGGAATGGCTCCACTGGAGCTATAGTCCTTTGCCGGGTGCAGTGAGTGCCAGTGGGCTGGGCTGCCTGTCAATTGGTCGGGTTCAGCCCAAGTGGCTCACTGGCGTGGCTGCCCAGACCAATGTCTCCCACTGATTCTTTCATCCTCCCGCTCTGAAATGGTCTCATTGGACCGAAGGGCCTAATCAAATTTCGAGTAGGAAAACAACCAGTAAAACGCCTTTTGGGGCGACCAACGGAGCGAGCGAGGGGTGGGCCTTGCACGTACGAAATTGCGAGGGGGTACCTCCAACCAACTTGTGCACTGCACCCTACTAACCGTTCCCTACTCCCTAACCATGTGTCAACTTTCAGCATAATCGGTTCAGCCGTTCTCGAGATCTGGAATCGACCCCTGCATGTGCGCACGTGCAGCAGCATCCCCCAACTGTGGCACATGGTCAAGGATATGCATTGCCTAGTGGGTGCCTAGTCCTACCTACATGCCAACTTTCAGCGCAATCGGCCCAGTATGTTACCGAGATATTATAATTGTTACAAAACTGACCTCTTCGTTTTTCACGTGGCAGGTGCATAATGGGTCACCCACATGCATCGAAAATAGTTCAATGCTTGTTAGAAGGAATGAAGCTACCCTACAAAAATTACCGCATGTAAATCAGTCAAGTGGTTCCTGAGATATAAGTCTCGCAAAAGCATGACCACGGCCGGCCGCTCATACTCAGAATTCAGAAATTTCCCGAAAGACTACGCTCGCTTCGCTCGCTCCGTAATGAGTTTGGGGGGGACGTCCCCCTTCCATTCTGAGAGTGGGGGGACGCGTCCCCCCCGTCCCCCCCGGTGGCGGCGCCCATGCTGCACGTAATGCTATCCCTCTTTACGCTGCGCGTAATGCTGTCCCTCTAGTCACATATATAAAAATCAAAATGTCTGTACGTATGTATGTAACGCGTCCGTCACGCTTGGCGGGCTATTGCTCCGGAACGGTTCGGGCTACGGGGTGAAATTTTCGCGCCGAGTCGGGCGCGTGCAACCATTTGTCGTATTAAATTTTGGTGGGGGTGCGCTCGGTGGTTTGCACGTGGCGGGCGCATCTTTGCAGCATTTTGGGCCGCGGTCGGCGCCGAGCAGACGGCACGCGCCTTATGCTCAGTTTCTTCGCTTGCAAAACTGGGTGAAATCAGAGCCGGAAGGTCACTGACCTTTGGCAATGAATACCGGAACAGAGCACCGCCGGCCAAAAGGAGACGCCAAATTTATTCTTGCAATAACTCGGCCGCTACTGGGCCGATTTTATTGAAAATTGACTTATTACGCTGCGCGTAATGCTGGACACCTAGTTACATATGTAAAAATCAAAATGTCTGTACGTATGTATGTAACGCGTCAGTCACGCTTGGCGGGCTATTGCTCCGGAACGGTGCGGGCTACGGGGGTGAAATTTTCGCGCCGAGTCGGACGCGTGCAACCATTTGTCGCATTAAATTTTGGTGGGGGTGCGCTCGCCGGCCTGCACGTGGCGGGCGCATCTTTGCAGCATTTTGGGCCGCGGCCGGCGCCGATCAGAGAGCACGCGCCCTAGGCTCAGTTTCTTCGTTTGCAAAACTGAGCGAAATCAGAGCCGGAAGGTCACTGACATTTGGCAATGAACACCGGCGCAGGGCACCGCCGGCCAAGAGGAGACGCAACATTTATTCTGGCCATAACTCGGCCGCTACTGGGCCGATTTTAATGAAAATTGATTTATTACGCTGCGCGTAATGCTGTCCCTCTTTACGCTGCGCGTAATGCTGTCCCTCTAGTAATGTCTAAAAATTAAAATCAAATTAATTTATTGCTTTTGTATAAACATTCCCTGAAGAATTGCATTAAACTAGTTCTACAACTGAATGATGAAATTAGGATGAAAAAGCATTAAAAAAGCCAGGCTGAGGATGAAATTTTCCAGGTAACCGCGGGGATCTCTCACGCCTTCATGAAGTTTCCAAATCATCTGCTGTTTGGATTAGCATGTTAATGGATCGTTCTCCATGTTTGCTGAAGATATAATCGAAAAATATTGAATATTAGGAAAATTATAGCTGTTTTCTTACAGAGTGTCCGAGGATGAAAAATTCTTCGATTTTTAGTCACCAGTCGAGAATGCTTGTAGGGAGTCTAGTCAATATTTTTATGACTGTAATGCATTTTTTAGAAGATAAGACACTGGACTTCGTTATAAGATGCATACAAACTCTTAGATTGCTGTTGATATAAAAATATTGCCTTTCGAAAATGAACAAAAATTTCATCCTCGGACTGGTGTCCAGGCTGCAACATGGACGCAAGCTATCTCATGATTTGATGAAAGATATAGCAAATACTATACATATGTGACAGCCTCGATCATTTTTGAACTGTGTGGTGCAAGTTTCTTCCGATTTGATGCCATGCAGGCTGGGTAATGTCTCGAGGGAAATTGCACCTCTTACGGTGTCGGGGGCCGGGTTCGGTTTAACCCTCGCCCATGTAGGGGGGGGGGGGTTGGTGCAACCCCCCCCCCGCCAAATTTTGGGTACCTTATGGGGCAAACCTTGCGCATCTTTAGATGAAAAAAAGTTGACCGGGTCATGTCAGGTCACGGAGTTATGACGTCACAAAGGGAACAGCCTCCGGCCTGATCTTCACAAACTGAGTGCCAACGCCCGAGGTTTCCTGCCGGTGGTACGAACATCGGTTGATGGATCGTGATGAAACTTCCCATGCATGTTGGGGCAAGTATTGGCTATCATATGGTATAAGAAACTTGACCGGGTCAGGTCAGGTCACGGAGCTATGACGTCACAAGAGGAACAGCGTCCGGTACTATTTTTGAAAAGCGCCCGAACCACTATTTTGCTAATTCTTGTCACCTCAATGGGAATATGCAGCAATATTAGCTTCTATAGGGAGCAAATGGACCTCCCAAATCCAAAAATACAATCAGATTTCAAAAATTTAAATTTTGATTTTTCGAATTTCTGCCGCCGACTGTGACCTTGCCGACTTCCGGCGCTCCCAACGCGCCATTTTTAGAGCTAGGGAAACGAAATGCATACCAAACGATAGAGAATTGATCAAGGAACACGATAGTGAAGGTTTCAAGTCGATATCTCCCACCGTTTTGCCGCAATCGCCGCCGAAAGTTGAAAAAAGTCTATTTTTCCGAAAATTTGACCTTTGACCGGTCAAAAGTAGGTCAACTGTTGACCTAGGACCAAAAAATATACCACCAATCGCGAGATCTCGGCGAGAGCAATCCGTTGGTCTTTTCCGCTAAGCTCTACGACGCTCCGTTTTCAAACGCCAAGGGGGGGGGGGTCGCACCAACCCCCCCCCCCCCCCCTGCATGGGCGAAGGTGGCAGATCGCCGTTTACGGGCGAGGGTTAATGCAACGCAATTATTTAGTAGCCGCATTTGCTGGCGCCAGCGTGACAAACTACGGCGCAAACAACGCGTCGCGTGCCTTCCGTTTTCAGAGAGGGTAATGATCAGGATATATATATAAGCAACGTAATGATAATGCGTCGCTGGGTAGCTCTCTGAAACCTGGTAGGTATTTTTATTTTCAGAATTATTTTAATTTTACATTGTGAAGAAGTTTTTCACCTTCAACTCGAGCACTTTCCTCTCAGAGAAGATGGTGCTGATTATTGCCCATAACTTGTGAATAATGACCATACTGATACGATGAAATTTTAGCCCATTTGCTTATATTTTCAACGTGTGCCCATCTAAAACAATGTTTTATCTAAAACACGTTGTCATTCTTTTCATCATAGCACCCGTTAGTGTAAAAATCATCATTGCATGTTAAGATCGGTCAATTTTTTTCATCACTGACTGATAAAAAACAAAACTTTTTTCATCTGCACAGGTAACGGTGAAGTAAAAATTTTACACTGCCCCGAGGCCTCTATTATAAGATACAGTTACCGATAGACCGACCAGGTTGAATACTGCAACGAATGTGACGTCGTTCTCACCTATCATCGAGCGCGATGCTCTCGACGGGCGGCTGCCGGTCGGCGGTCATCTGGTCGTAGCTGGCCCGCAGCTGGTAGTTGGTGTCGCGCGCCTGGCGCAGCCGCTCCACCACGTTCGGACCGTAGTACTCCGCCAGCTGTCGAACGCTGCCCACCCCAGAGTCGACCAGCGTCCGCTCCAGCGCGTCCTGGGAGGAGACGGGGGATGTCAGTCAGTCAGTCGACCAGGGTCCGCTCCAGGGCGTCCTGGAAGGAGACGGGGGAGGGTCAATTAGTTCAGGGTAATAAGAGGATACGGAGGAGTCATTAAAAACAGGGCGTCCTAAATGGGGCAGCAGGATGGTAGGAGGAGGTTACGGCATGACATAGACGCGATAAACAGTAATAACTGACAAACTCAGCGAAAGGCAGAGTCACGTCCAATCCTTCCTTGTAAGTAATTATCAGAACTGTATCAAACAACTGCTAATATGAACTTTTTGCTCTCATTTCTCCCACCCTCCCCTAATATTGAGCCTCACCGCTGGATACCTAACAAAACACTTGTGACGCCCCCATGACACCCCAAGTCCGTCGGATCCCCGGCACCTTCCGCTCCCCGCCACTGACCACAAAGCCGTGCGGTCCCCGCTCCAGCTCAGAGTCCCGTGTCTGTCGCAGCATCAGACACAGCGAGCGAAGGAAGTTGGCGGTGGCGTCCGCCAGCGTCCCCAGCACCAGGTCGGTCGACGCTGCGGGTACAAGGGGAGACACGTCTGTGTCACGAGAGTTACTGACAGAGGGTATCGGGAACGGCCACTGCCAGGCCATCAAGGGGTCTAACGTGTGGAGATCCAAATCTATTGGTGCAGGAAGCAGGAGCGCAGAAACGCTGCTAGTATCGGTGCGGCCAAAACAAAAACTGAAATGACCCTATTATGGATTTGGCAGATCAAAGGGAATAAAGGTAATAGAAAGATGTAATAAAGAAAGGTTGCGTCATTACGTCAAAGAGCTGATCGGCAAATGCCCGAGATACGATTACATAAACAATTCTGTAAGAAGCAAAGGTTGTTAATAACTTCAATCGCCAGCACCATGGATCTCAAAACAGTTTCTTCGTCCAAGAGCGCACCGGTCGGGTCCGGCGCCACTACCCCTGTCCACACCACTCACTGTGGAATCCGGCGTGAGCCGCAATGGCGCCGACCGAGCGCACCATCAGGTCACGGCACAGCTCCGCCGGGATCTCGGGGATGGCCACTGGACTGCCGCGGACGAACCCGCTGAAAACGTATGGAGCGGTGGGGGGGGGGGGAGTGTGAGCGGCAGTAGCGGGTGGTGTGGCGTCAGTCGTGACGGGCGTGAGTAGATGGGGCGGGGTCAATGGAGGTCGTGTGGGGTGTGTCACTCAAAAAGACGTGAAGAGAGGACGGGCGTTGTCAGTATGAGGGACGGGAATGGTCATATTACGAGCATTATATGTCTGATTTTAAGCGCTGTGTCTCATAATTCACAAGGCAGACAATTGTGAATTATGAGACACAAGCACACGTGAACAAACAAGCGTGAAATGACATTAAATGTCAAATATACAATGGAGCAGCTTCACAGATCTAAAGGTCTTACCTGTCTTTGACTTCTGGAAAGACGGTGAATTTCTCCTCCAGCTTATCGAAACACTCTGTTAGGTCCACTGGTGTCAGGATCGAATCGTCGACCTGTGATGGAAAGAAATATGTGATTATCGCACAGACTGGAAACAGAGACACACCACCCAGCTCCCATTGACCAGGCATGGGGGATACCTTCAGGTACTGGGTGTAGTTAAAGCCTCCAACTTATAATTGTGTGCATTAATGTAGCAATGAAAAACAGCTTTCATAAAACTCAATATTATTACCACACCAGTTGAGTAAAAAATGTAGCCTCAAGTTTGCTGAATTCCAACATTACATTCATGCAGAATCCAAACTCCAAACACTGGTGTCTTACGACTATGGTCCACCAGCTGACTCAGCAGTCAGCTGAGTCATGTTATCAGGTCTTCCAAGTTCTAACCAGGTCAAACAACTGAGAAATATTGGTGTCCCCATGTCCAGGCACAGGACTGCCAGTGAAGCTGAGTGTGACTGCCCTCAGAAGGTCTCCTTCTGCGGGCGCCTGTCCACCTGAGAGGACCACTGACCGTGGAGGAACTGGCGACTACCCTGCTGAGCGCTGCATTCTGCCTGTCCAGCTGAATGGTAGCCAGCACCAGTGGATCCATACGAAACGCAGCCACTGCTGGCTTACTGCAGAAACAAGAGATAGGATTAGTACAGAACACACCATACAACATGAAGGATACAGAATATGAACCAACTCAAATTTTGTCAGAGCATAGCTTTGGCAAACTAATCACTTGTCTTAAAACGAACAGGTATGTTGTCATTATACTGTTTTTCCTACTCAATACATATCATACTGCAATAAATTTACTAAAGCACTTGTTTACTTCGAATCACAATCAACAAGACACGAAATGACTTTTGATACAGATAACAACAGATCAAACAGGATCAGTGAAGTATAGATATACTCACACATCTTGTTCAGCATTAACATCAGCTGGCTGGAAGAGCTTCGGGCCCTCGACCACCAGGTTGAGCTGCAGCTCAGCCAGCCGCTGCAGCTCCTCTGGCCTGAGGGCCTTCAGAGGTGGTGGTGGTGTCTCATACTCTCCCCAGTGCTCAGATGTGGACATTTTGATGCACTGGTTGGTGGCTCAGGTAACTTGAACTTGAACTGGCAAAGGCAGCTCAACAGTCAACAGTCAAGCATTTGGTAGCCTTTATGTCACACCTGAAAATGAAGACAAATTGTCATGCAAAGCAGGTCTACGCAAAGCTGCTGTGCAAACTGCAAAGTAAAAAAGTTGTATCAGTAGGCGGAACTATGGTCAAGCGTACCCATTTTCGGGAACGCATTTTCGTTCCCATGTTTGGGAACGATAAACCCAAATATGGGAACGCCATGTAGGCATTATTTAAAACAAGAAAAAGAACCGTTAAATGACGTCCAAAAAATATAAAACGATCGTGAACCGCCTGATATTTGTCTCAATATTGTTGGGAAAGAGTTTGATATTGTAAGGCCCATCGTAGTTTCAAATCGTTCGCCTATTTCTAAAGCAGTCCATCATCCGGGCCGCGGGCCCAAATTTGGGAACGCTCTCGTACACTGGCGCTGCAAGCGTTCCTTATTATGGGAACGGCGTACCCAAAATTGGGAACGATTTCACCGACGCCTTTCAGGGGCTCTTTTCATTAACAAGCATCACGTCCAACGCCGCAAATTATTGTTAACGCAACAATCATCAGATGACCTTTCCGGCAAGACCGTCGCATGTTTCGCCCGGTCTTCTGCGCTTTTATTCCCGTCGATCTCGCAGCGGGCACGCCCCCCTCTGCAGGATTACGTAATTCACAACGCTCAGCGATGTTCAACAAGGTCTTCCATGCCTATATCCACCGTCCGCGCCGAGGGTGGAGACATGTCAAGCACCTGTCTGTTTATCACCGATAGTTGACGAGCACAAGTAAGTATCCAAAAATGGGAACGCTGAAATGTTTCACTCTCAAAACACCTAGTCCCAATATAAATCTACTTTTTTCCTTTCTTAATGAGTGTAAGTGGCAAAAGGCCTGGTAGGATGGGCACGAGAAATGATCGAAATCAGCATGAAAATTATAAATAAGGCACATAGGGCGACCTGCATAAAAGAAATTCCCCCAAAACGATCGTACCCCCAAAATACCGAAGGCAAAAACCACGCTCATGACGCTCCTTAACCCTCGCCCGCACATGGGGGGGGGGTGGTTGCCACCCCCCCAGGTAGTCTTTCTGCTCTGCACTCAACATTTTTAGAGCTAGAAGGCTGATTTTTCGTATAGCTGCTCCTCTATCCTTTCTTGATGTCCACTGAAAATTTCAAGTTTCTGTGATTTTTGGTTTCGGAGATATGACCTTGTTTTTCAGGTCATGTCATGACCCAAATGGCCAATTCTCAACATCTTGCGTTTGCCATGGGCCTTATGAGCTTTTGACACCCTGATTTCGGCCTTTTTTGCCAGTCTTACCTCCTACCTATCATGGAACATGTTGTTTGACGATGTACAGGGGTCAAGGTCAGGGTCAAGGTCAACCTAGGTCACCTAAGATAATTGCGTTTTAGGCAAGCTGAATTTACTTTTTTTGAAGTTTTTTGACTGCATTTTTGGTAAAAGCTTCTCAGATCATGATTTCATGTAATATGGACCCAAAAACAATCGGTGCACACATCAGTATATACACAGACACACACAGACATACAAACACATATAATTGACCTTGACCTAACTTGACCTGAAATGACCTCAGCAGCAAAATTCTGGTCGGGTAGTGTGACAAAGAGGTTCTAGCTGGCTTGGCACCAGAAAACAGCATCGTCATCGGTATTTGATAAGCAGCACACTTGATATCCAACGGTGACCCAAAACAGCAACATTTTTTAGTTTGACCTGACCTGGAAGGTCAATGACTGACCTGAGAAGGTAAAACTGGGTATCATTGGATTCGTCTCTTCCCAAAGAATCTTTTTGGTCTTTACTGCTAAGCTCTATCTCCAACAGGAACGAAATGGCGCGGGGGGGGGTGGCAACCCCCCCCCCCATGTGCGTTCTACAGGGTGTCTCAAAAGTTCGCTTACAGGTACCAGCCATGCTTTTTTGTCAATAATTCTGAATCAACAAGAAATTAAAAGTCGAAATTTCGCATGGGCATTGGTGACAACCTTCCTCAAGCAGTCTCATTGTTTTCAAGTGCATTCGACCCTTCATGAGCTCACAAAAAGGGTTCACCTCTGACCATGAGTCAGGCACGAAAATGTAGGTTGCAAAGTCGGGTATGTTGTGAAACTCTCTGTTTCAGGAGTAATGGGAATGGTTAAGTCGGAAATGACACATGGCTAAGTGTCGGCGAGGATGAGTGCAACATGATGATCATCTCATAAAAACGGTGGCTAAAACTTTTGAAGGACGAAACCATGCGAGACTAACGGCGTTTTGAACGACCCTCGCACGACAGCAGACTCGTGTTCCGGAAAGCAGCTGAAAATGCGGTCATAACTATTGAAAACTGGCAAGAAGCTCACAGACAGAGGTTACCCATTTTCAAAAAGTGCAGGTCATCGTAAAATAAAGGCAAATTATAATTTAAAATTGTTTATAATATATATAACGCTAATTTTTGGGGACAATAACACAAAAATCGTCAATGCCAAGGACACCTGACCCTCCAAAAGTGTCAGTTATTGTAAAAATTTTATCTAACGAAGTTTCAAGAGGCAGATCTGCAGCGAATAATTTTCTTTTAAACACAAAATCCCGATAAAACCACACAATGGACAGGTTTGGGCCGTTTACAAAGCAGAACCTCTCCCGAGGAAAACACTCCGCAACCGAGCGAAGGTCTTGGCATGGGGAATGACGAGCGCTTGGAATTTGCAAAATTTGCACAATGTGTCTGAGAAACAGACGTCCGACACATTCTGCTACCATATGATGCGAAAAATTTACTCCTGGCACTTCCCGTTTGTTCAGGACTGGGGTCGTTTTGAAAAGGAAAATGGCGCTTGGGATGTCGGCGCCAGTCATTCATGAAGGAGTTAGCGCCAGAGAATGCCTACAAAATACTCATGAATGGTGTCGATGCAAGCTGTCGGCTTTCATGGAAAATCAGATGTTGCCGGGGAGCTAGTCAAAACTAAATCCGACGCAGAAACTGCAGGGGATTCCCCTGCAAGAGCTTGAAAGCTGGTAACCTTTTATCAGCCTCCGGCAGCTGACGGAGCAACAAAAATCGGTATGGGCAAATATTTTTGGAGATACAACAAAGGGGTTGGTTTCTAACCTTCTTAATCAGTTGTCAAAGCATGCATATTTGTCTAGTGTACACACAGACACCAAAACCTTATACTTTTGGCCGGTTCTTATATGCTTTATCGGCATGGGAAATGTGTAAACGAACTTTTGAGACACCCTGTAGGATGGGAAAATGGCATGTGCGGGCGAGGGTTAAAAGCAACGCTAAACAGCTAGCATCCAAATAAAATATGTCTTTCAGGGTTGATAAAATACAGCTGCATAATTTTAAACCACTTAAACTGAGTTTATAACAGTAGTTCGGTAAATTCACTCGCGTTCCACGCGGTCGTCCGCCCCGACACCAAAAGTCCACAATATTACCTCGGGACCGTACGCGTCTTCGCTTGCATTTGTCAGGATCTGGTGTCGATAGTATGAAAGTTCATAACCAGGCAAAAATTATTATAGTTGGACTCAAACTAAAAAATGCTTCATTTTCCTTAAAATTGCATGCTAAATGTCGTATAACCCATATTTCCACCATTCTGTCATTTTTAAAAAATCATTAAAAATATCATTCCACGGTCAATTTCCTTGTTCCACGGTCAGATTAAAGATAACTTTATGGAGATTTAGTAGAGACGTTAATTAGCATGCACTTTTTTGAGACGTGATGCACTAATGAGTTTTAGTGCGCGAACGGCCGAAAAATTGCCTTCCGTTGTCATAAATGGGAACGCTCGTTCCCATATTATTTTGGGAACTCCGTTCCCAAAAATGGGAACGTTCCTATATTTGGGTACTCATGACCATAGTTCCGCCTACTGGTATGTTACATCAGGACTATTTTTCAGCAGAGCCACTTTTTGTTTTCTCGCATATTGAAAAACTACTGGACCGTTCTTGACAAACTTGGTAGGTATCAAAATGATCAGAATTTCATGCTGAATACAAAAAAAAATATTTCACATTTTACTACTATAGGAAAAGAAAATGTACACACACCCTTTTAAAGCTGTAGGCACGCTGGGTCCGCCGCTACAACCCAGCGCTGCCATGACCCAGTAGAACCAAGAAAGCTGTATGTGCACACATACTGCCGTATATGCACACATACAGCTTTCTTGCATGGCTTTGAACTGGTCAATTGCTTCATGCATCCCGGCTTGCAAAGGCTGGCGCGTGGCGCACCTACGCCTGTTTTGTTTGTTCCTCATTGTTTCCCAGCACTTATGTCTTTTTTCAAAAAAGATTAATGGAATTATTTTGTAAACCAATCTATATTTTAAAATGCCATTTTCCCAGACTAAATAGTTCATTTCTCTCTATCTAATGACACCAAAATCCCAAAATCAAGAATTTGACTTACCTACTTATTTCTTACTTTGTACGGCAGAAAGACAAGGTACTTTGAATTTGCGACTTGAGACTTGAGAGTGGTGATTTCCTCCTTTTACAAGCTGTAAAAACTGAAGAAATTCACACAACAAAAACATGACTAGAAAGAACACATCAATCCAAGCTTGAAAAATGAAACCACACATTTGACATTGATGCTTGTTTTGATGTTTGATACTTGTTTGATGCTAATCAAAACACACATGGATAAGTGCTTAGAATCAGAATGAGTAAATTTACCTCCAAACTTATGCTTATGTCAGCTTAAAAAACTCATAACTAGCTTGAAAAACTTCAGGCTCAGGTCAAGGTTCAACAACATGAGTTGGAGTCAGAGTAGAGGACCAGGTACACAGCAATAGCATCCAACTGTGAGAAGACTGTGGAGGTCTTGTCATCGTCTCCCGTATCAGTTTAGCTCTACATGACAAAAGTCACGCTTTAAAACACTAAAAATAAGTTTAAAAAATACCTTATTCACTTCAAAACCGAACCCGCTTCACATAAGTGACTAATATATGGTCTTGGTCTTGGTCTTGGTCGTGGGTTAGGGCGCATAGCCTCATCGGGCTCAGAGCGTCCGTAGATGTCTTGTTGCCACTTTCATGTCTTCAGAGTTGGTAGGTAAGACAATGGAGTACTAAGCGTGGTAGTGGAACGGAAAGACAACAGCGTACCGGATAGAACCAGGATATAGTATTGAGGAATATTTCCAGTGGCGAACGTGGCGTAGGACAGTAGTTAATGTTAGTAGCGAACTATAAAATATGGTACTAATATAAAATATAAAATATAAAATACTACTAATATATGGTAGCTCTGGGTAGCTCTCAATAGTTGTCTCCACCGCGCCAGATTTGTAGCATATTTTCCTGCCATATTAAAGTATTTCCTTTCTGATATTCGTAGAATGCGTTTGTTTTACAAATGTTGGTGGTGCGGGCGGCATAAACGGTCGAAACGGTCCGACACAGGCCATGATTTCCATACAAAGGAATCTTAAAACTGTCATTAGACATAACAGTGTTTATCGGCCATCTATCAAATAGCATAGCCTCATCCACATAAGCAAGAGTTGTCCTCTGATAGTTGGCATCTACGTTGTGTAGTCAACAGTTCCTATTCGACATGGTCCCTCGGCCCTCAGGGCTCAGATCATGTCTTTTTAAGCGGTAAGGCCCTCGGAGGGTGTCGTGAGGGCCTAGGCCAGAGATCATCGTGGGGCCCTCAGAGGCCAGTGGCACTGCACGGTCTCTGGAGCCTACGCTGAAGGCCTCAGAGGCAGTCGTGGAGGCATAGGCGGCGGAACGGGGAGGGCACCGGGGCACCGTGCCCCCCTTTGATTTTGGCATTTTAACATAAGCCCTATGGGCGTTGCATGGAAAGAATGGGACCAAAAGTTGACAGTGCCCCCCCCCCCTTAATTGAACGTGTTCCGCCGCTACCGCGTGGAGGTCCTTTAATTTTGGAGGCCGGCGCGCGGCCCCTTGGAGCCTGCTTGGGAGCCCTCAGAGGTTGTTACGGAAAGGTTGTTGAGGGCCGCCCTTCAGAATTAACTGAAAGGGCAGAGCTGGGCGCGTTCCTCGATTTTCGGTAGTGCGTTAGCGTTCCTGCGTTCCTCCGGCCGCGGTTAGTGCGTTCCTGGAATAGCGTTCCTCAATTTTTTTTCGCTCGGTGCGTTAGCGTTCCTGCGTTCCTGCGTTCCTCCCTCAAAAATACCGCCGAACCACGCGGCGCGGGTCCAACCAAACACGGGGCGAATCGATCACAGAATACCCAGAATGGCGACGTGGGGCCGAAAAGCAGCTCGACATCTCATTTCCGAATCGAATATCTGAAATACGTTTTACCAATATCATCCGTAGGGTTTTCAACAAAAATACGACCTGCTTAAAAACAATAGTTAAGTTAAAAGATGTATTTTAGTAAAAGTTATCATATTTACTTTACACATTTAATGCCTGAAACTGAATCGAATAGTAAACATCACCTCTAAAAATCTTTACACATTTAATGCCTGAAACCGAATCGAATAGTAAACATCAGCACTAAATCTAAGCAAGCCTTCCTCGATTCGACCGACAAGTGGCGCCTCTACCGGCAAACACACGTACTCGAGATTCAAACATTTGACACAGAGGTCATTGGCAGCAATATAATTTTTCGGGTGGTTCCGCAAGAACGCAGGAACGCTTCAAAATTTCGGGTGGTGCGTTCCTCTTACTTGCGTTCCTTTGAAAAACTTTGCGTTCCTGCGTTCTTGCGTTCCTAAAAAGGACGGTGCGTACGTACGGAAGAACGCAGGAACGCACTAAAGGAACGCACTTGCCCAGCTCTGTGAAAGGGCTCTCAGAGTCCACTGTGTGGTCCTCCGAGAAACTGAGCTGCGGCGCCCACAGAGGAAACTGAGCTGAGGGCCCTCGCGACTGGAGTCGCGAGGGCCCTCAGAGGCAGGGGCTGGCCCCCGGAGCCTGCTTGGCCTTTATGAAGAGTCTGTTGTGGAGGGCTGAGGCCCTGCCATCAGAGCCAGCCTGGGGCACCAAACCCGATGCGGGGCCCTAAAAGCCGGTCATAAACCCCAGAGACCGGCATGAAGCGCACATAACCGTATCAGACTTCTGATGATCCCACGTCATCTTTCGTTTCCCGATCGTTAATTTCCAGAGAAATGTATCCAATGGTTCGTCAGACATTTTGAAGGACAGTCGACATTTTAGGGGTAGTACAAAAATACTTGCACTCCTATTTTTGGATCGGTCCGGTTGGCGGCTGCACACCCTACACCCCTCTTTCACCGCCCCTTGGATAAAAAACAAGCATTACATAGATGTTAGGTACCGACTTAATGAACCGCTGCCGTTACCAGTGCTGGTACAGATAACTGAGCTAAATGACTACCCAAAGATACAAATGGAAACACTGTATTACATAGGAACATGATGATCGGATAATCACAAGCAGTACCTTCTACGAGTAAACGGTTATGTAGTACCCAACTGCATGTGCATTTACATAATCTCGTCGTTTTCTTATCGAGCTGTCATCTTTCATAGTTCGTCCTTCCCTTCGGTCGTTGGTGACCTTGACCCCTGATCAGCCGATTCACTGCCCGTGACGTCACGGTCAGCCGACTGCGCAGGGGCGGCTTCAGGCGGCGAGTCGGGTCGATCTTTTTTGGACGTGCTTGTGGAGGCAGACTCCGGCTGGGATGCTTGGGATGATTCCTTCTTCTGAAAATGTGACCAGGAAAAATGTTAGAATGAGAGCAGCGTGAAAACTATGTGCATCGCTGCTTTCACAGCTGAGTAAAAGTTAATTATTAGTTATCTCTCAGAAACACGAAAATAGGATGAATTAGCGTGGAAGAAGGCGGCAGTTTTCCGAATGCTATAAAAATACAAACCGGTCTGAGACTGGGGATGGCGTTGATCTTCTTGCAGGCTTTCATCCTGGTCACACAAATATCCTTGATGGTGGCTGCCGACTTCGGCTTCTTTCCTGGCTGGAAGGCAGCCAGCAGACCCAGACCCAACTCGTTTTCAAATGTGGCTGAAACAGGGATGGAATGTTAAGTCAGCATCATTAGCATCAAAGCATCGGGACACCTTACTCTGTGGATGTGTCTTTGTGCTGCTTAGGATTTAAACTCGCTGTAGGTACCTACTTCCATATATTTCCGTCTTTGTGATAACCGGGCCCCGTGGTTCATTTATTCGTGTGCTTTTTGTGAGGTAAAGCTTGGGCAGTCAGAAGGTCCCTCTTTGACCGATAATTCATGGTGATGCGTATTTAGATTATCCAAATTAAGTACAATGAGCAATGTCCATGAGACAAATGAGTTAGATAAAACAGGTCATACATACATCAAACATCGCTACTAATAGGTGATTGACGTCATATTGTCTCGCTCCAGACATCATTTATTCAGACGGCTTCGTTTTTCTAGGTGGTACCTGATAGCCGTAATAAACTTAGCTTTTTTAATGCATGGAATAGGCATGGCTTATCACTTGCGCGTGCATTTATTTCTGCCCTCGCAGGTGCCTCGAGCCCTCGACTCACCTATGAGGTCCTTGCAGCTCTCTCGGAGCCGGTCGGCAGGGAAGGCGTACCGACCGAGCCGCTGTTCAGAGCACACCCGGCTCAGTGCCTTGTCTATCCGCTGCTCCAGACTGCCCTTGGACGTCGTCTTGACAATCTCGTACATTTCTGCGCAGAGAAATACACTAAGTAGCAGCCGATTAATGCGGTTTCAGGTGTATCACTGCTCCTGCAGTTATGTGTTGTTCGTAATCGTTTAGAAAGTTTCCGCAATGGACCGTGTAACTAAGCAATAGCTTTAGTTTTTCGGCCTTCCTTTGACGGTCATTTTCGCTATAGCGATTACCTTTTCGCTCACACCAAAACATTTCATTTCTACAACCCAACTGTAGGTACCAAAGTAGCAGGCATCATAAGCAACTTCTTGTTCATAATTACATATAACTCCACAGGAGGATGTCTCCCGTAGTCGTGCCACTACTAACCTGTACTGACAGCGTAGCAGGTCTCGCAGAACACATCCCGCTCTCGGAGCGTCTCAGGCAGCTGACGACGGCCGGAAACGGTGTTCAAAAGCAGCGACAACACCAGCAGAAGCAGCAGCGGAAGCCGAGGTGGGAGCGACCGCCGAACAGCGTTTGTCGGGGCTGGTCGAGCCATGGCACTGGCCTGGCTGAAGTGAAGGTAAACCTTGGCGACTTGGGATTACAACTTCCGATGCCAGTTAGGTACGATCGACGACGACACACGCTTGGACACTACTTCCAGTGTACCCGCCAACGAGTAAACGGTTGGCTTCCGCAGCGTTGTCGAGGCCCCACCCCGGCCGACAGCGCCCCCGGACTGGCGGTGCCTTATCGCGGGGCAGGGCTACGATACAAAGGTGACACCGATAACGCCGGCACGGCACGCCGGGGTGACGTCACATCAGGAGGGACGTATGACGTGACGATGAGTGACGTCCTGCAGGGCATGAATTTCATGATGAATGACATTACGAGAGAGGGGATGAATATACGCTGCATGCAGGTGCTCTTCAATGTCTTGCCACCAATAAAAACTAGGTCCTGTATGTAGGCAAATGCACGTTACTGAGACGCGGGTTATTCTTTTATTCGGCGTTGGCGACCTTTGTTCACGAGCAGAGGTGTATGCAGACTACAGAGTTCTATGGTGCTGCTATGTATTTTTAGTATCTACTAGCTTACATAGTTATCGCCCAGACAGTTCCTTCAAAGTCGTTCCTTCATGCCATAGCCTTCCCCATTTGTTTGCGAAACATTACCCTTCGCCGCCTGGAAACTGCTCTGAATGTGTGAAGCGGCACTACCATTTGTCACCTGGTAGCGCACAGCACCGACAACCCTTTGGCAATGTGCAACATACCACTATAGAAACACCGACCCCGGATGAGCCGGCCCGGTGAGACTGTGTATAAATTATCACTGCTGGTGCCGCCCGGGCAGCGACCGGATGGCACGGCTGACCTCCCGGCCCGCCCGGCCCGCACCGGCGGCGTTTCGCCACCGCCTGAGAACCCGTGCATCACACAGCTCTGCACGCGATGACGGGGGCGTGGCTGAGCGTGGGGAGGGGGCGGGGAGAGGGGTGGCGGTGAGAGGCGCTGCAGATGCGCTAAACGATATTTGATTCGTGGCTCGTGAGTTACCGGTCGAGCCCGGTGGTGAGTGCAATGGTTCGTGATGTGGGGGGGGGGGGTTAATG